AACGTCAGACAACCTTATCAGCCTTCAGCAGTTAGCTACAGTTTCTGTAGTGGAGACTAAACGTTAACAATGATCCATATTAGCAGTTTGAATCCAACTAAAAGCTCCCTGCACCAAACTCCCTTTAAGAAATATCACATTCTAACAATTCCTAACGTGTTTGTAACAACACGTAACTCTAGAAACACGAGCTAAAGGCCGTCATATGTCCACAGTCTGACTGTCAATACAGGATCAATATCATCCATAAATACGTGTATACGATCAATAATCCATAAAGATACAGTGTATTCTGATCAATATAATCAATAAAGATACAGTGTATACTGATCAATATCATCCATAAAGATACAGTGTATTCTGATCTACACATAAGATAAAAGTGTATACTGATCAGTATCATCCATAAAGATACAGTGTATACTGATCAATAATCCATAAAGATACAGTGTATACTGATCAATAATCATCCATAAAGATACAGTGTATACTGATCAATAATCCATAAAGATACAGTGTATACTGATCAATAATCATCCATAAAGATACAGTGTATACTGATCAATAATCCATAAAGATACAGTGTATACTGATCAATAATCATCCATAAAGATACAGTGTATTTGTGTGTCTGTGTGTAATTATATGGATTAAAGGTCGTAAACACCACAATAATATTTTAACTTCTCACATGTTTTTTATGTAAAATCTTCTATAAGACAAAGAAACATGAAGTATCTTAAATCCTGGAAACGTGAAGATAAATTGTTGGACTCTTCTTGTGCTCTGCTGGTCTGCTGGGAGCTGCTGCCTTTCATTTACGGTATTGATCACTGCGGTCTGTATTGGCAACAGAATTGATGTTAATGGGCCCCTGAGGTTATAAAGAGGCTCTGCTGCTGACATGAAGAAGATGCATGTTATTCACATGTTCACGTCTTCTCCTCAGTGGGTTTGTTGACTATATTTCTCCCCCCCGCCCCCGGCTCTCTAATCTTCACCTGTCTCCAGTGACGTTTTGCTCAATAGTGAATTGATGAGTCGAGAGAAAGAAAATCCGTTTTTTTTTGACGACCAATTAATCGTTCAGTCGCACTCAAGGACCAAAACAATGGACGCTACTGCAGACCAGACTCCAGAGACAGAAACACTCATTTTATCTTGTATCATCATCAAACCCTGATAGATAAATATAAAGTCCTGACTGCGTTCACAGATGTTTAAACATAAATACACGGCGCTAAAATTAGAGTACAGCTGATGGGATTGTGTGTGATCTGATGCTTTTCTCAGCCTGTTGCTTCCTGACCTTTAATCTTCAGTAAGCCGGGTTACTCCCACAGTGTAAACTCCCTGAGTCAGCCTCCGACCGGCTTTGCGGCGGGTTTGGCTGCGTCTCGGTTCCCCCCATTCATACCTGCCAAGGTGATCAGACGCCACGATGAAGCAGGAAAACCTAACTGCAACGTGACACTCCCGGATGTTTTCATGTGAAACCCACACAGATACAGTCTCTCAGTCTGAGATCGACTGTGTTTGCAGTTTGCAGAGCGTTGAAACTTCCTGGCCTCATTAGAACCATTAGAGCTCGCAAACAGAAGAACAATAACTGTTTCCTCTCGCTAACCCGCTGTTTATCTTCTAGTCTTGTAGCGTAATGTTAGCACTCTCTGAACCAAGTCATATCTTTGGTTTGTCCTATTTACTGGAGCAGTGAACAACATTTCCATTACATTAGAACATTATGGGATGGTAATGATTTCTCCAGATATTAGGAAGGACCTCAGCTGTTGCCAGGGAAACAGTAAAAAACGTATAAAATATTGATCTTATTGTTTCTTTTCTTTGGAAAATGACTGTGATATAAACAAGATGTCCATTATCAGGAATTAAAGGACGATGTGGAGGCCATTAATTCCTGACAATGGACACCTCGTTGGGCTTTTAACTGAGCGCTGTGGGCCCAAACAGGTTAGCAGAAACAGTTTTACAAGACGATATCATGTCTGTGTTTTCCTTTATGTGAAGCTGACCTGGAACACCTCTCTCGCTCTTTACACCAGCAGCAACGTTGGTCGACTTTATCTCCTTATTCAACATCACCGTGTCTGAACTAGACTTAGCCCACATCCTCCAGCTGAGGACGGAGACACAACCTCTCCACACAGCCAAGCCAGACTCACTCGGGCCCACTGCACAGGATGATGTCACTTATTTTAACTACCCTCCTTGTTTTCCGTTATTGCCCCGTTGAATTTCCTCTGGTTGCAAAATGGCAGAGCAGAACTTGGCACACGTTCAGCCTCAGGAAACACATCTGAGTTTCATCATGTGTGCAACTGATTCCTGGTTGAGATATGGCGCTTTACAGGCTGTGCTTTCATAAGAGGCGTCAGCTTCACTTGGCAAATTGTGTAATTGTGACTGGAAATGTTGGATTAAATGTAGTTTTGAGAGATATGTTGTCCAAACACAGCATCTCCTCCTCTTCAAAACAAACAGATCTGCTATAAACACTGTCTGAACTGTAATGCACACAGTATTGATCAGAGATCTCTGTAAGTGGATGTGTGTTTGTTGACAGGATGCAGAATCCCCAGCAGAGTAGTTCTCTTACATCAATGTTTGATTAACTGTTGCTCACATACGAGCAGGAGCGTAGTTTCATTGGACTCTTTTAAACTTATGTAAAAATGATTTCAACATTTGAGAATCAATATAATCGAGCATATCTAGCACAACTGCCGGCTGCAGATGTTGGTGTCTCAACCGTCTGTCCACAGCGGGTTAGCTGTTCACGTGTCGACACAGAGATTCAACAAAATAAAGAAACCAGATTAAAGAGGCAAAAGTGTGAGGCAGCGTCCATACCAGTGCAGAGTAAATGAATGTCCTGATGTGTCCTGACATGTTTTTTTTTCCATTACTGTCGCCGCTTATGTTTGCTCTTGTTTATCTTCCCCCCTGTAATCTGAGGTTTCAGTCACATCAAGATATAAAAGCAGAACACTGGATACGTTTCTTTATGGTCATCTCTTTGTAGTTCTGTGTTTCTTGTTCTGTTTTGACTCTTTCTAATCATTTTGTATCTATTTGTGGTTGTTTTTAGTCTTTGTGGTTATTTTGCATCAGTTTCTTGTCATTCTGAGCCTCTTTCTGGTTGTTTTTTGTTTCTTTGTAGTTATTTTTATTCTCTTTGTAGTTGTTTCTAGTCTTTTTCTGGTAGTTTTGTGTCTCTTTCTAGTTTTGTGTCTCTTTCTAGTTGTTTTGCTTCTCTGTCTGGTTGTTTAGAGGCTTTTTGTTGTTTTGCATCGCTTTGTGGTTGTTTTTTGTCTCTTTGCGGTTGTTTTTGTCTCTTTGTGGTTGTTGTTTGTTTCTTTGTAGTTGTTTCTAGTCTCCCTCTGGTTGTTTTTTGTCTCTGTTTTGAGACTTTTTTTTTTTGTCTATTTGTGGTCACTATACATCCGTTTGTTGTGTCTCTGTCACATCTCTGTGGCCGTTTTGAGTCTTTTGATGGTCCTTTTGTTGTAGTTTTGCATCTCTTTGTTGACCTTTTCTGTCTCTTTGTGTGTCTTTTGTTGTCAGCTTCCAACAGACAACCACAGCGCTGACACATGCACCAAGGTCTTGTTTAGTTGGTCCCATAATCTGAAGATCACATCAGGATAAAGGCAGACTACTGTACATATCACACATATTCATTCAGATTTACCTTTTTTAACACGTTTCTTTACGGTAATTTTACGTCTCTTTGTAGTTTCATGTTTCTTGGTCATTGTTTTTAGTCTTTCTGGTTGTTTTGCGTCTCTTCTGGGAATATTATAAAAGTATTAAAGTAGTCTCTGGACGTCTGAACTGTAATGCACACAGTCAACTGAAGCCTCTTTTCATAATCTCACAGCCATGTAAGTGCGGCCCTCGTGTATCATCACATGATAGAAGTATTGATCAGAGATCTCTGTAAGTGGATGTGTTGTAGACAGGATGCAGAATCCCCAACAGAGTAGTTCTCTTACATCAATTTTTGATTAACTGTTGCTCACATACGAACAGGAGCATAGTTTCGTTGGACTTTCTAAACTTTTGTGGAAATTATTTCTAACATTTGAGGATCAATATAATCTAGCATATCTAGCACAACTGCCGGCTGCAGACTTTGTGGTGTTTTATTTAACATATTGATTCGTCATGTTGGTGTCTCAACTGTCTGGCCGTCTGTTTTTGGCTCATTGTAAATGTCGACAGTTCAGTTTCAACAAAATAAAGAAACCCCGGATTGAAAAGGGGGGAAAGTGTGAGACAGCGTCCACACCAGTGCAGAGTAAATTATTTATATAAATATATATATTTAAACTATTTAAAGTGAGGAATATGATAATATATGGTTATGTTTGGTCCCATAATCTGACATGTTTATTCAGATTTATCTTTATGGTAATTTTTTGTCTCTTTGTAGTTGTTTTATTTCCTTTTTTAGTTGTTTTGCGTCTTGTTTTGGTTTTTCTGCATCTCTGTGTTTGTTTTGCATCTCTTTGTTGTAATTTTTTGTCTTTTTGTAGTTGTTTTGAGTCTCTTTGTAGTTGTTTTGTGTCTCTTTGTAGTTGTTTTGTGTCTTTTTGTGGTAATGGGGCGTTGTTAGGCCATAACGCTCTACAGTTGGTCTGTCTGTTCAGTTTCTGCAGAGGCGATGCTGTGTCAGTGAAAGGGAGGCATATATACAAGAATGAAAAAAAATATCAACTCAACAACACTCTAGTCGGATGGGAGGAAACTACTCTCGTGTAATTTCCTGTTAGTGGTCACCCCAGGGACAAGTTACCGAGCTGAATTAGACACTTCAGTCAGTGTGCAGACACCACTGAGGAAGTGAAGGCTTCGCTTCAGCGGCAGCTTATCGCGGCATTTATTTCTCTTAATAATGTTGGTGAGTTTACTTGCGATGACGGAGGGACTGATTTCAAGTTGTGCAGTTTGTGATTAATGCGTCCTTTTCCTGACAGGGTATGGGTGCTCCGTGCTCCTCGGGGGTCCCGCCTGAGAGATCCATCCACAGCTCGGGGATGTACAAGCTGGAGATTGAGCTGAAGAGAGGAAACAATCTGGCTGTCCGAGACAGAGGAGGTAGAGTTACTGTCTGTGTTTTATTTTCTGTGTTTGATTTTATGGGTCTGAGAAACTTTACTTGTTGTATTTAGGCAGCAGTGATCCCTATGTGAAGTTCAAGCTCGCTGGTAAAGAGGTGTTCAGAAGCAAAACCATCCACAAAAACCTGAACCCAGTGTGGGAGGAGAAAACGACTCTAGTAGTGGATTGTCTGAGTGAACCTCTGTATGTGAAGGTAAAGACACACACACACACACACACACAGAACAAAGCTTTCCCACATGAATTCTTAGTGAACAAAAGAGTCAGTACAGATCTGTTTTGTTGCAGGTGTTTGACTATGACTTTGGCCTTCAAGACGACTTCATGGGTTCTGCTTACCTCTACCTGGAGTCTCTAGAGCAGCAGAGGTCAGTCTGATAGATTCAGACACATTGCCACATTGACATAATAGCTTATGTATGGACATGTTAAATGTGCAATATGACAAGTCTGCCACTAGGGGGTCAAAACAATAACCAAAGATTAAGTCTGATGAGGTGGTGAAGCAGCGTGGGATCATGGGAGTTGTTGTCTTCACCACCATTGGCGTCATTGCAGTCAGCTTCTCCCGGTTAGGATTCCTTCAGTGTTCATGGTTCAGGAGGTTTCTACCGGGAGCCCAATGATCCACAGAGGTCTCCTCCTCTCCAAAACAAACAGACCCGCTGATTAAAACCACTAAACACACTGAATAAAGCAGTTCCACCTTAACAATCACTGCTTCTCCCACGCTGTTGGACAGACAAAGGACGTCCCGGAGGGGCTGCGAGCCGAGCTGCTGCTAACGTTAGCTCAGCTTGTTTCTCTGATAACTTAAGATCCAGACGTCCGATGACTAAAATCCTTCATCCGGTTCAAATCTAGAGTTAAAAAGCACCAAGATCTAAACAGTGGATGGTAACAATGTGGCTTCAGACTGGATAAACAGTCAATGTATGACAGCTTCTGGCAGACAACCACAACACTGACGAAATGAATTGAACTAATGACTCTAGACTGGTCCTTCTTTCTCTGGTACTCTTCCCGAGGTTTTTTATTATTGTTATCCGGATCGAGGGTCTAGGGACACTAGATATACATCAGATGTCTTACATTAGTGCAGAACTTGTTCACTGGGAGCTTTACCATAGTAGTGAGTGCAGTATTTACACCTGTCCTACCTGTGTGTCACAGGATGATACCTGTAACGCTGGCACTGAAGGACCCTCACCACCCTGATCAGGACCTGGGCACCCTGGAGCTGGCCGTCAACCTGACCCCGAAAGACAGTCCCGTAGAGGAGCGACGAGACTCGACGGTTCGTATGTCTGCTGATTACAGCTCTCAGTTCAGTGTCTTTGCTTTTCTGTCCCCTAATCAGTTGATCTGGTACCCTCAGGACCCCCAGAAGAGGGTTTAAAACAGCATAGAAAGGCAGGATAACTGAAAATAATTGACAAAATACAGTAATTTTCCATAATTAAATACAGTTTTTAGTTTCAGTTTTACATAAAATCACATTTTCTGTCTTTTTAATGCTTAATTTAAGATATTTATATATGTAGAACCAATGCAATGAGCTATAAATACAATTGAACTCTGCTATAATACAAATAATCAGCCTTACATTTACAGCAGAGTGCTGTTATTATTGGATTTTTATTATTTTAATCAGAATTTTAAAAGTTATATAACTGTAATAAAAGTCATTATCTGTGAAATTACAGTAATTATTGCTGTTTTCACTGATAAAAACTGTATTTTGACAGTTTACCAACACTGATAAACAACATTTATTCAACGTTTCTGTTGTGAAAACTTCCATAATTATACAAAATATCTGTCAATCAGCAAACAAATCCATGTAAAATTACACAACAAATACTTATGTTTAACTGATAATTAATAGTCACATTTAGTAGTTTAGTGTAATTATGATTTAGTTATGGTTATAGTTGTAAGAATGCAACCAGTAACTGAGGGTCACAGGTAGACAAAAGGTTGGGAATCAATTTACTAATCCATTAACACACTAATTATTTCAGCTCTACCGGATTACAAACACACGTATGAGAACACAAACTCTTTCTGTGTGAGTTCTACTTTAGTTTTCGGTCGGTAACAATGAGTGTTTGTGCTGTTTCCTGCAGCGGAGGGAGGTTAAGGCGTATCGCTGGAAGCCGTACGTGAATAAAGTGAGTGTAGCGGTGATCAGCCTCTAGTTTCTCCCCCAATAGACCCGTTCCCCTTCACCTCCTCGTCCAGTGAGGATCAATAATAGTTAGTCTTTTAGCTGTTGTTGGTTTTAGTTCTGTTTGGCTTCATCGACTCTCAGCAGGTCTTATCCATAAAATAAACATTAAATATGGAAAAGAATCTTCTCACCACTGACGTCAACGTGGCATCGATCAGAAGCAACTGTGAACTAATTGTGAAAACTACGGAATACTTGAAGGGGAACTCCAGACATTCAGAGACTCACAGAGGCCGAGATATTCAGACTTTATATCATTTAATATTGAAATTTAAGTACCAAATTGCATTGACGCATTTTACTTTGAAAATGATATGAATTTATGTGGTTTGAATTTCCCACGTTATAGTTTGGAGAGAGTATGTGAACACAATTTTATGGACGACCACAACTGCCTGATGTAGATTAGCTTGGTTATTAGTTCTCTTTTATCTTTAAACCGTCTTCAAAATGTGGTTGTCTTTTCAACATAGATTAGCTTAGCATATAGCATATCTCAGTATGGGAAAGGAGGAAGTTGACAGAGGCTTGCTCAACTGTGATTGGAGCGCAGAGCAAAACAGGGCAGGACATATATATATATATATATATATAAATATATCTCCTTGATCAGTATCTGTCAGAAGAGGGACTCTGAATGTGTCCTCAGCACTAAGATATGAACCACAGTCTGTCTCGTTCATGTTTTATTCAGCACATAAATGAATTATAGGCTGCAGTCAGAGAGGAAGACACAGAGAAAGAGAGAAAGAGGATTAAAGATGTGAAATAAGTCAGCAAACAGCAACAGAAAGCAGATTCAGGAGAGCGACGACACTGAGGAGCTCAGATGGATCAAAGCTAATGAGCCCGCGAGCTCGTGACGATGAATATTCAGCACCGGTGGAGTGTTTCTCTCCGTTAGCATCTCTTTTTATTAATGGAGCTGAACTGAAAGTGAGCCGTACGCCTCCCCTCCTTCACTTGTTTTAGCTGCTTGTAGTTAGAAATAAACCCGCGCTATAGCACCCCCTAGTGGCTGCAGTGCTCCTGCCGTGCATTGTATTCTGTATTGAGGGTTGTTTTTTGTTTGCAGCCAGTTAAACCATTAGTCTTTTCCCACCCTGCAGCTGAATTAATGTATTTTAATGTGATATTCAGACTATGCTGCTCAGGAGGTCCTGGAAACGATCCACTAAGGTAAAAAAATAACATCATCATCATCGTGTGTTTTTGCCACTTTCCATTAACTGTCACTAAAACCTTCACACTGATCACCTCTCTGTCTCTTTTTGCTCATTTTCATCTCAGATATTTTTTATGGCGTGAAACAGACGTCAACTTAGATGTTGATTGTTGCTGTAGCTCCTTTCCATCCACCGGCCCTGTTCTTCTAAAACTTAATTTGTTCTTCTCAACTGAAGTTATCTTAAAGGAAAACTCTGGCTCAAAAGATTTATTTCTATGTTAAAATAACCAAATATCCTGGAATTAATTAATTAACTACCATGAACCTTAAATTAATAGCCCAGGCTTTTATTTGCCTCAATCAGTGAACTCAACCTGCTTTTATTCAAGACAGGCCTTTAATTCCTTTGGCACAAAATTTAAGTATGTTCTCCTGAAACATTTTAATTGTATTGTAGCTCAAATTACGTAAACCTGGGTGTGTTTTGTGTTTGAAACTGGACTGTTGATAAGTTTAATCTTCATGCTTTGACACTTCAAAGCTGTTTTATCAGATGCGAAGCGAAAAACCCCAGTCTAAGGCCATTCACACCACTTGCAGTGGAAAAAACTGCTGTACGGTCATATCTACAGCAGTTATTAATGATCACATTCACATTTGTTGTGGTTAATATTGTTAATTATATGTACAACAAAGACTTTCTACTTCTTCTTTTAATAGGCTGATAGGTGAGAAGATTCATTTTCTGTGGAATAAAATAAATTCTACTAGATTTGATCTTTTCATCTATAGGCGTAGAACATGCACGAAACCAACAGACATTAACATAAAAACATCAGATATTTGGTTACAATAATGTATAATTATACAATTATAGAGCTGCTGTACAAAACCATCCAACTCTGTTGTCCCATTGTTCCTTTATCATCTCATTTATCCCGTTCAGTCCTTCCAGCATCTTTCAATATCAGCAATTTCATCTGAAAATATGATTATATAATTTCAGAACATGTCTCTAAAGAAAGGATGCATTCAACTCCAATCTGACAACAGCTCCAGATTGATAGTTTAAGCCAGATTTGAAGCAGTGGAATCCGGGCTCAGGTCCAATCCTAGAAATCTAAATCAAGCTAACATACGAAGAGCAGGGCTCTGCATGCTGCCCGTCTTCTTCCTCACATTTGACACATAATGTTCAGTGTTTGTATCTGTGTGTGGACCAGCAGCAGCAGTCAGTGCGTCTCTCAGAGCTGCATCGGAAATCCCAGCTCTGGAGAGGGATCGTCAGCATCGCGCTGATCGAAGGCCGGAACCTGATTCCCATGGACCCCAACGGTCTGAGCGACCCGTACGTCAAGTTCCGACTGGGACCCCAGAAGTACAGGAGCAAGGTAGGCTAACACTGACCTCGGTCCTGGTTCCGATCAGTAGTAGTGGAGGACGTACTCAAGTTAAATATACCACAGTGTAGAAATACTCGAAATGTTACTGAATGTTAGCATCGAAATTTTTAATGAACCAAAGGTAAAAGTACTCATTATGCAGAACGAACAATTTCAGATTAATATATTATTATTATCCTTAAGTACCAAATGTCCTTCTCAGTGACCACTACAGCCTCCTTAAGGACTATAAAATATTTTGAGAACCTTTACAATCATCACAAGGATCTCTTAAATGATGTAGAACCTCCTCAATAACCCCTAGAACCTCCCAAAGGATGTAGAACCTCCTCAATGATTACTAAGATCTCATAAAGGAACTGTAGAACCTCCTTAATGAAGACTAGTACCTTTTGAAGGACCTCTAGATCTTTTCAATAACCACAAAAGGATTGCACAACCTCCTCAGTGATTACAAGGATCTTGTAAAGGAACTTTAGAACCCCAGACCAACTAACCCTAACCCAACTAAAGGACCTCTAGAACCTTCTTGAAGGAACTGTAAAATGCTATAATGCTCACTAAAACTCTTATAGGACTGATAGTATATCCATAAAATACCTAATTATTGATGCATTAATGCGTCTGACTAATTTTAATTTATCTTGAAATCTATAGATATTATACATGTGTTACTTTGTGTAATCCTGGTTAGCTTGTGAATAACCCCCAGGGGATCAATAAAGGTGTATTGATTAATAAGAATGTATTTGCTGATTGTCCTCAGAAGAGACGCTAATGTTTGAAGATGTGATGGTGTAACTTATTCTCCTTCAAATTAAAAGCATGTTTCTCATTTGTGTTTGTGTGAGCAGACGGTGCCAAAGACCCTGAATCCACAGTGGAGGGAACAATTTGACCTTCATCTGTATGAAGAGACGGGAGGAGTGTTGGAGATCACAGTGTGGGACAGAGACACCGGGAGGAGGGACGACTTCATTGGACGGTCAGATTGTCTCATTAGTAAAATAAAAATAAGAGCTGTTAATTTTACGTTCAACTCACCTAAAAGCTAAAAGCAGAGTTTGAAAAGTGACGTACAAGAACAAATGAAGCCAAACATAAATTGTGTTCTGTGATCACTAGAACCTCCTCAGTGATCATTAAGAACCCTTTAAAGAACAATTTACTGTCCTCAATGACCACCATTTCCTAAAGTACTCATATAATATCCTAAAGAACTTCTAAAACCTTTTAAATTACCTTATGATCTTAAAGGAACTACAGATTGTCGTCAATAACCACTAAAACCTCTGAATGAGGATTCAGAATGTAGAACCTCCTCAGTAACCACTAGTCTCTCTTATAGGACATAAAACCTTCTTCATGACCACTATGACCTCCTGAAGGGCCACCAGAACCTCCTTAATGATTATCAAGATATTTTATCTTTTATCTTTTAATTGTAGAACCTTTTCAGTGACCTCTGGAACCTTTTCAATGATCACAAGGATCTCCTAAAGGATTTAGAACCTCCTCAATGTCCACAAGGACCTTCTGAAGGACCACTTGAACCCCCTCAATGATCACTAGAACCTCATCAGTGACCACTAGGACATACTAAAGGACCTCTAGAACCTTTTCAATGATCACGAGAACCTCCTAAAGGATGTAGAACCTCTTCAGTAACCCCTAGGGCACACTAAAGGACCTCTGAAACCTTTTCATTGATCACAAGAACTTTATAAAGAATGTAGAACCTCATTCTACTTTAAGCACTATTATGTGTAATAGTTATGTAGGTAATGAAATGAAGGAGAAGCCTAACATATGTGAGTGTGGTGTCATTCCACTATGAACCTCCAGCTTCAGAGCTCCTTGTTATAGATTACTATCTCAGAACACATTCTCTCGTTCTGTGTTTAGATGATGGTGGTGGAGAACACTATGGAGGCCATCTTATGATTAATTTCTCATACTGAAACCTTTCAGTGAACATCTGCATGTTTCACTCAGATGTGTTTTCCCTTTCGGTTGGTCACAAGGGACGACAGGTGAAACTTGGTTAATGAAGAGTTGAAACCAGAGTCGCTGCGGTTTGGTTTGGTTTCGTATATACTGTCAAACGAGCACTCACTGTCACGTATTAAATCATTTACAGCAATCAATGACACACAGTGTAAGGCAGGCGGATAAAACACAGTGGACAAATATATAAATATATATTTGACCCTCTAAAAACTATTATTATGGTTTATCGACTTATATAACCTTTTAGCTGAGGTTGTACAGATTTTAGGGATGTGAATCATTTTAAGATACTTCAAATTTAAATTGTTAAAATGACTGCAGTCCTGCATTAACTCCTATTTCATGAAGGTTATAATATTCAGTTTATCTTAGTTTGAACTTTGTTCTGTTATATAGAGCAGTGTTACTCATATTTAATCTATATTTGTTGATATAATATATTTATATTCATTTTCTGTCGACTAGCCTTTACATTTGAATGTTTTTTTAACTAAAGCTGTCAGATAAATGTAATGAATTAAAAAAGCACACTAAGTAAAGTACCTCAAACTTTAGTAACTAGTTACGCTCCTCCACTGTACACATGTGGTTGATGAGCTGAACTTACGTCCTGTGTTCGTCTTCCAGATGCCAGCTGGATCTCTCCACTCTGGCTAAAGAGCAAACTCACCACCTGGAGCTGCCGCTGGAGGAGTCCCGGGGCTACGTGGTGCTGCTGGTCACGCTGACGGCCTCGGCTGCTGTCTCTATCGCCGACCTGTCCGTCACGCCGCTGGACGACCCGCAGGAGCGCAGGGAGATCCTCAAACGATACGTAAGCCCCACCAGTGGCCGCTCAGTAAACTGCAGGCTGTGATTCTTAAATGATTCTGAATCTTACATATGAAACATTTAAGTAAAATTCTTTTGATAATATCAGCAACATTCACATAAAGTATAAATAGTAAAAGCAGCATTGTTTTGCTATAATATAAACTGTTTTTGGATTAATAACTGCTGCATTATGTGTATGTTGCTGTATTTTTTAACTACCCTGTTAGAACCACATACGTCTAAAAACCTGATGAGCTCAGAAAACTGTTTCCAGCTTTACAGCGATGCATTTTCCAGCTGATCAAAGAGGGTTTTTAACAAGTTTCGGGAGCCAGGAAGTGAGCCAGGCGGGGTCTCACACAGGGGACCACACAGGGAAGAGTTAGTTACAGGGAACAAAACACTGCAGCATGAATAACATCTTTCTGTTTTCCTTCTGCAGAGTTTGTTGAAGTCGTTCTCTAACCTCAGAGATGTGGGCATCGTGCAGGTGAAGGTGATGAGAGCCGAAGGACTCATGGCTGCAGACGTAACCGGTAATATAAATATGTTCCTCACAGTGCTCATCACACCTCCTGTGATGTACTTTATACTCCTTTAACGTATATGCTATACCCTATACTCCTCTAATATACTTTATACTCCTCTAATATACATTATACTCCTCTAATGTACTTTATACTCCTCTAATATACTTTATACTCCTCTAATGTACTTTATACTCCTCTAATATACTTTATACTCCTCTAACGTACTTTATATTCCTGTACTGTACTACTACTGTATTTCATTCTGTGAGTAATGTTAAATGTCACTCATGTTTTCCAGGTAAGAGTGATCCGTTCTGTGTGTTGGAGCTGAATAACGACAGACTACAGACACACACTGTTTACAAGAACCTCAATCCAGAGTGGAACAAAGTCTTCACCTTGTGAGTGTTTGTTTGTCGCTACTGCACATTGCTTTATTGATCACTCTGAGTACATATATCACCCTGGTTGCTTTTCATTGTACTGGTATACTCTTAGGGGGCTGCAATGATACCGCTATCAGGTACTGTGCTCATGTTACGTAACCTCTCGTTAGTTGAGGAGCAACGTCGGCAGTTTGGAGATATTTTAAGAAGCTTTTACAACTTTAACAATCAGAAACTGAGGACTAGTATTTGTATCAGTACTTTCCTCACATATTCTGGAAACACCTGAAGGTTTAGAGACTAGTTTTCTAGTCATGGAAACACCTGGAAGTTGATTAAAATGACCAAATAATTACCTTATTATGGCCAGATTATAGATTATAGATTATAATCTGGCCCAAAAGATTGTTATGTTTTCATGTCAGTTTAAACTACCTCTTCATATGAAGTCACAATAAATACAGAAATATTTATATTTATTTTATTATATTTATATTTTTGCACTACAGCAGAGGCCACCCTTATAGAGGATGAATGTTCTGTAAAATAAAGTAAATTCTACTTGATTTGAAGCAGAAGAATTAGAATTAGAGCAAATCTGTGATAAACTGTAGTCAGTTTTGCTGAGAACAGCCACAAAACACTGAGTGTCCAATCACCTATGAGGCCTATCGGTAAATCATATGAGCGTTTGCAAGTGCTGTCCTATGTTGTCAAAAAAAAGACCTGGAAAGGTCCTGGAAAATTATTTCTTAAGAAGAGTGGGAAGTGTATCAGCAAGTACCTAAATATAAGTACTTACATTATTACTATTTATATTTGGTCTAAATAAAGTGATACCAGTGCTTCCCTAATATACATACATACAGATGATGCCCCCTGCTGGCCTTTACACAGAATGCAGGTTTATAACTCACTGTATGTACTGTCAGTGCTCTCCGTCATCCCTCCTCTCTCCCCTCAGTAATGTGAAAGACATTCACTCGGTGTTGGAGGTGACGGTGTTTGACGAGGACAGGGACAGGAGTGCGGACTTCCTGGGGAAAGTGGCTCTTCCTTTATTACATGTGAGTGCAATAAAGACTACAAAGATATCCAGATACTGGCGTTAAAGGGTGTAAACATGAGTAATTTGCTCCTTTAAATCATCAAATTAATTTTCAAATATTTAAACAAAGACATCAGTAGCACATAAATACAGGACATAGGTCACATATAGGCAGTAAGTTGGACTCTGACTGTGTCTTTGTGTCAGATCCGTAACGGCGAGCAGAAGAGTTACGTGCTGAAGAATAAAGAGCTGACCGGTCCGACCAAAGGAGTCATCTACCTGGAGATCGATGTCATCTACAACACTGTGAGCGTCACGTCCAGTGGGGGGTGTTAATAAGTACATTTTACTGGTTAATACTGATTCCTTTATATCAGTGGTTCCCAACCTGGGGGTCTGGACCCCCACTAGGGGTTGCCAAAGCTTCACAGGGAGGTTGTGAGATCTTCTTGAGTTTAAAAAGTTGCAAGAAAACTTAAAATAGGTCTTTATCTCAGCTTTTTGTTCATTTCTGTGAAGAAATCTTTTAAATTTTTTTAAAGTTTAGACTCCCCTGTGAAAAAAGATCAGCTGTTAATCAAGTAGCTTTAATAGTTTTAAGTGACACTGACTTAATTTCTATTTGTACTGTGAAAACAAACCTAGTAAAGAACTTAATCAAGACAGTTGACTGATGCTACTTTTGTGCTTTTAATGCTGCTTTTACTCCTGTAAAGTATCCGAGTACTCACTGGATTTCTGTTACTTTCTCTTCAGGTTAAAGCTGCTTTGAGGACGGTCGTTCCTGCGGAGCAGAAATACATAGAAGAAGAGCCTAAAGTGTCCAAGCATGTATGTTAGTGTGCTATAATGGTACTCCTCATTATATTATATATTATCCAGGCCCATATCTTCATGTATAATCACTCACTCGAGCTTTATTTGTGTCGTACGTTTCACGTTTGATGAATATTGTGACAGTGATGTTCATACAGCAGTTTGTATTTGCTGTGTAAACGTATTATAATCGTCTGCTTTGGGTCTTTCAGCTGCTCCAGCAGAACTTTAACCGCGTGAAGAGGTGCATCATGGTTCTGATTAGCTATGGGACGTATATCAACAGCTGCTTTGAGTGGGAGTCTGCACAGAGGAGCATCATCTCCTTCGTGGTACAAAACACACACACACACACACACACACACACACACATTTATTCATTATTGTATTATTGTTAAAGATTAAAGTTGTTGCCAATCGTTTTGTTGCTTATGATTTTAAAAATCATTGTGCAGTTTGTTGTTGATTCTGGCGCCCCCATGTGGACAGAATAGATAGATAGATAGATAGATAGATAGATAGATAGATAGATAGATAGATAGATAGATAGATAGATAGATAGATAGATAGATAGATAGATAGATAGACTACTTTACTGATCTCCGGAGGGAAATTGGGTCGTCATAGCAGCCAGGTACATTAAAATACAATAAAATACAATAGAATAAAATACAACAATAGAATAAAATACTTAGATAGATAGATTAAAAGAAGATAAATAGGTAGGTAAGGTGCAAAGAGTTGTAGTTGTAAGATGGTGGTAATAGTACTGATGACATGATGGTAGTGTTATTGTTAATAACAGTATATAATAACAACAGTATATAATGATAATATTAATAATATTTATAATAATATAATAATAATATGTATATATAATATGATGACTGAACAGATATAGATAGATAGACATAGGTAAACATGTGTCATATATTCAGCCTGTGCAAGGTGTGCATACATACATACTGTAATATATATACACAATATATATATAGTACACGTATATATATGTACAGATATAAGATATGATATGATATATAGCATATGTATAATAGATACTTGACTATACAAGAAGATATACATACAATAGATAATATCTTATTGTTATGTAATAATAATAAAACATAATAATAATTGTAATATATAATATACAATAATAATAATAATAATAGTAATAACAATATAATATTATTAATATAATAATAATATATTGTATAAATATGATATATAATATCAACATGGTTTATATTAACACAGTAATAACAATAACACATATAAAGAAATTTAGATTATTATTTAACTTTAAAGATCAGAGCTTTAGTCTCTGATAAACAGCATCTTTCTGCTTTAGAAAACAACTAAAGAGCTGATAGATAGATAACAAAACACTGAATCTGTCAGAAAAGAAGCGTATTTAGTCTGAATGATTGTTAAAAAAAACAACAATTGTATAAAAAGTTCCTAAAATTATCAGGAAAACTCATCATTGATCGATATTAACAGGAAATAATCTGCTCCAAATTCATCCAAATCTCTGGTTTTACACAAACTTCCTGCAGTTATTGTGTTCACTGTCATTGTTATACATTGAATATAAGATTAAATATCTATAAAATATATATAGAAAAAGGATCCTGTGATGAAAGAAGGTTGGAAACCGCTTTTATAGAGACAGTTTAAGTAGGTTTAAGAAGGATTTTGAATGCAGGACTTCTACCAGAGTATTTTTACTTTGTTGTATTTGTACTAAAGAGCTGAATCCTTCCTATTATCCTATTATTCCTATATTATTTGTGCAAATACAAACAGAAAAACCTTCAGTTAAAGCCGACTGACAGCTGATTCCTGTTTGTTTGATGTCCTTTTTCCAGCTCTTTGTGGTGGTTGTGTGGAACTTCGAGCTCTACATGCTTCCTCTGGCTCTGCTGCTGCTGCTGGTCTGGAACTACTTCTTCTCCTCGAGCCGGGAAACAGCGGACACGGTGAGGAAACCAGGAAAAAACCTATTATTCAATACGAACGTCTGTCTCTCAAGCAGTTAAACGTTTTACCACTTTCTCCTCCTGCTGCAGACCATGGACGCCATGTTTGAATGGGAAGACGAAGACGAGGATAAAGAGGACAAGGTAGAGTCAGAACCGCTGTAACATTTAGCCGATATTCATGTTTCATTGTACGTACTGAAGCTCTGATCCCTCGTTGCTGTCAGGAGTCCGAGCACAGAGGCTTCATGGATAAACTGTACGCCATCCAGGACGTGTTCATCAGCGTACAGAACGCTCTGGACGAGGTGGCGTCACACGGAGAGAGGATAAAGAAGTGAGTATCACAGAGAGCGGCTTGTTAAAGTCTGAACTGCAGTTCACCGAATGGCCACTGGTGGCGCTGTTAGCCACTGCTAGGACATACAGAGATACAGTATCTCAGTTTATTTGTGCTGTTCTTCCTCCGCAGCACCGTTAACTGGACAGTGCCTTTTCTAAGCTGGTTGGCGATCACTGCCTTATGTTCGGCCACAGTTCTGCTCTACCTCATTCCTCTTCGATACCTTGTGCTGGCGTGGGGTGAGTCACACAGAGAATAATAATAATAATGATAATAATAATAATCCATATTCACTCTATAAACTGACGTCTTTTCTTCTGCAGGTGTGAATAAATTCACCAAGAAGCTTCGCGATCCGTACATGATCGACAACAACGAGCTCCTTGACTTTCTCTCCAGAGTGCCGTCCGACGTTCAAGTGGTGAGTTTGATGCAGCGGTGAACGACGGAGGCGACGTTGAGCTCTTCTTTCTTCTTGTTTTTGCATTTTTATTTATTCATTTTTTACTTTTAAGGTTCAATAAACACAAATGTTGCTTAAAGCTTAAAGCTAATTCTCATCTGCAGTCCCTTTAAAGACCTGCACGGAGCGTCCCTTTAACATTAACCACTGTTTGTGTTTGTGACGTCCTGAAAAATGTCCTGGAAATCAAAGAGTGGCAACGCTGCTTCTTGTACTTAGATATGCTATATGCTAAGATAATGTCTGCTGGAAATAAAACCACATTTTGAAGATGGTTAAAAGATAAAACAGACATATATAGTCACATCTTAAGTTAGCTAATATTAGCAAAACACTAGGTAACTAACGATTGATGTATTAACTAGTTAGCGTTTTACTAACATTAGCTTTCAGATGTAACTAGCTGGTTAATAATTGATGCAGATTAGATAGCTAGTTAGCTAGTATTTTGCTGCTATATATACATCTGTTAATGCTGAAGTAATGTTACATAAACAGCTTTTTTTAATCTAAGTTGTCCCAGAAAATATGAATTATATATGCGCCTATATAGCGTCGTGACTTCGCCATCCTGGGAAAACAACATAGCGTCCTCGGGGTTGTAAATTTAAAGTTTAAAAACAAAACGACAACAGAAAACATTACATTTGTAAGTAGGTTACGCAGGCGTGAATGTAAACAACAGGCGCTGTTTGTTGTCCTGTATTAGTGCTCTTAAGCAAACAATGTGGCTGCCGTGAGCAAATACAGTCTGCAGCAGCGCCACGGTTTCCTGTTTAATTAGAGACAGAACCTGTCATCGTGTGTGTGTGTGTGTGTGTGTGTGTGTGTGTGTGTGTGTGTGTGTTGACAGATGCAGTACCGTGAGCTGAAGGTCGACCCCGGACAAAGTCCCAGCAAACGCAAGCGGACCAACCCGAGTTAGCCGCCGGCTCTCGCCCGCTCTCTCGCTCCTGTAAACTCTGTAAACTATGTTATTTATATATTTCTGCTATATTTTCATTATTATGAGAAGTTGTAACTTTGTTGAGTTGTTTCTGTTTTGTTACTGTGGACAGATTTATTTTCTAAATCTTGTAAAGAAAAGCTTGTTTTTTTTTTAAAAAAAAATCGTTTTTATTTGTTGAAGCCGGACGCAGGACGATGTAATGCTGTCCGTTCTGAATGTACACGCGTGTGCATGTGTGAAGCTGTTGCATGGAGTCGGTTTGAACTCGACGTATCGTCAGTGTCTGATGTTACTTTAAAGGTAGAGTTGCATGTTATTGCTGCCTCTGTTTCTCCATGTATCACACACACACACACACACACACACACACACACACATTTGGTCAGATCCACACGACACGTGAACATAGTTTTAGTTTTTTATATAATATAATTTTGAGTTTAAACTATGAATACAATAAATCATTTCTCTCACATCAAAACAATAACACAAGTTTGGTGATTTTATGAATTTATGAGATTAAAAATCAAACCTATAAAGTAAAGTTTGACTTTAAACAATAATATTAAAATAAAGAAGTAATAAGTAACTAATACGGCTTCGTTTTGTGTGTCTTAAAACACAAGAAAGTCTTTCTGAATGAGGCCTCATCACATCTCACAATAGACCTTTTTCACAGCAGCTGTTTTAACATGAAACAGTAGGTTAAAGTTACCAATGATACTAATTAAGGCTCCACTGACTGACACATTATTGTTTCAATTACAGCTATTTGTATTTGTCTTAAAGGTGCAGTGTGTATTTTCTGCCACTAGGGGGTCAAAATAATAAGAAAAAAGTAAAAACTATGAGATAAAGTTTGACTTTAAACAACAATATTAAAATACAAAACCAGTTATTAAAGACAAGAAGCTACATTATTGTCCTTTGAACGTGTTTTTTATTTTATTATTTTACACAGTAAATAACATAAACGGGAGAAAACATATAAAACATGTTTTATTTTTCTCTTTATTTTTATTTTTCTGTTTGTTTTGGCATTTTAAATCCTCCATATATGAACCAAGGAGACAAAATCTTAATATTTCAGCCTGAAGCAGTTTATTTATTTTCATTCACTTTCAGTCTCTGATTTCCTGCGAAGGTCGGTGTGATGTGAACAATCAGAGTTAACGTCCGAGGTTTTCTGATCTCGGTTTTCGGGACGTGATTCCCTGCATGTCCGTGAGCCGTCGTCTGTGTGTGTCCAAGTGTTTCTGCATGACTGAACATAAATTATATGCAAAGTGCATTTTATGGATCCTGAATGTGAAGCTGCGTTTCTGTTTACTTTCATTGATTTCTGTCATTTTACACATTGTCTGTTTTTTGTTTCCTGTTGCATTATGGGTACTTTGCTGCTGTTGACTAACCTCTGCGACTGTAATGAAGTCGAACGCAGGACCGACTGTAACGACCGTGTAACGTTTGTCTGAGAAAATATATTTGTACACAGATCCACTGTCTGATGTTATTATTCACTTTAAAACCAGAAACGTTCATTTAACTCAAAGAAAATAGTTTGAACTGAAAACATCGGAAATTTTAAGTGAAACAAACTAAACTTTGTAAGTTAAAAAAACATTCTGGTACTTTTTACTGGATATTTTGTTTTCACTGTGCAAACAATTACAAAATTAAATCAGTGTAAAATTACTGAAGTTACTTAAACAACAATGTTTTTAAATGTTTTTTAATGTTTACTTAAAGTTTTCGATGTTAAAATAACAAATAATAACACATTACAGTAAAGACACTATAAAAACTAACTACAGAAGTAAATTAACATAATTTAATCCTCCCAAAAACATTTGATTCATATTAATATTATTATTATTATTTATTAAACTCAACTCAAAAATGGCTGAAGTAATTAATTGTGTAGTATTTTAGGTTTTGGTAATTTAATTCCAGTTTGTTCCATTGATTAATTTTCTTTAAGTTGACTTTATATGATTATAAAATATAAGCCCCAAAATTAATTGGCTAACATTTTAATAATCGATTAATCGTAAATGTGTTTTTAATCGTCAGCTGATTTTACAGTTAATATAATAATTTGCTTTAGTGGAAGAAAACAGATTTAAGTGACTTTATTCTGATAAATTCTGTTCACATGTTTTAAATACGTTTGGAGAAATTCTGTATCTGAGTTTAATAGACTTACTAGTTTTTGTAATCGTTTAGGAAACTGACAGAAATATTTTATTACTTTGAGTTTAACAAACTAAACTTTTATAAACATATTTATTGTTATATTCACTGAAACTTTCACTTTATCCTGACAGAACATGAGACAGATAATCTGTGGAATAATCAGCTGGTTTCTCCTGATGGGATTAACGAGAATCCACCGGATGAAAACAACCAATCAGAGCAGAGAAAGATTATTGATCGTTGAGTCTCAAATACACTTTAATGAACCGACTGCAGCTTTAATCATCATCAGTCCGAGTTTTAGGGAGAAGAAAAGTAAAATAACTATTAGGTGTAACTAATTACTGTTGGCAGTGAGTAATAAATTACATTTTTTGAGTAACTAGTCCAACAGTGTTTAATATAGAGCTGAAAACTGTTTTAAAAGTATAAAATTAAATTATTTTTCACTCCTGAATTGGAATAAAAACTCTTCCTGACTGAGGTTGTTAGATTTATATTAACTTTATTGGCATGAACAGAGTCACCATATGAACATTAAAGTATTTTAATAATTATTAATAGATTAATAGTTTATGAATCATATTTAAAGTCTGAAATAATCCAGTTCAGTCTCATCACTGACCTTGTGTCTGAGGGGTGTGCTGCAGGGTTTTGTCCAGCAGGGGGCGCCGTACACTCGGATCCTCTCCACAGCTGCAGCGATGACGTCTGACTCCCGGAAAACATCTGGAAAACATCTGTAAAACATCTGGAGGTGGTTTTCTGTCGCAGACTCAAACGATTCAAACATTTTATTTCTCTGATGCTCATTTAATATATATTTATACTATTATTTATAATATTATTTATGTTTATTATTTATCAATAAATGCTCATACTGAATATTATACTGAATATTATAATGTAATATTACATTTATATTACACATTATATATCAGTTACAGTCCAACACCTTCTCTTTTGTAGTTTTTATTTATTATTTGTATTTTATATGCTTCTAATTATTAAATCTTCTCTGTTTATATTAATTTATTTCAGCAGACGTTTTAATATTCTTATTTCCAGGTGATTATAATTAAAACTATATGAATATTATATTTCTGCCAATAGATCCTCTTCAGTGTTTCACTCTGGATCTTTAACTTTTAATGGTTTTGTTTTATATCTGAACTCTTTTAACTGAACTTGGTTCATTTATGTGAAGAAAATTAAATGTCAGATTATAATTTAAGAACTTTACTCACAGGAGAAAGGTGCTTTATATAAGAAAGGAGGTGATGTCGTCCCACAATTCCTTGCGGCAGCGACATTTAACTCCATAACTTTAATACGCTCAAATGTTTTAAACTTAAATATTTCAACTTTATTATATTAAAATGATCTAATTGAAGTTTATTGGTTATTAGTTGTCTGAATCCAAGATGGTGTCCTCGCTCTACACTTCAGCTCTGAGTTCATCAGACATTCAGGATTTAATTAATTAGTTATATTTAATCAATTAGTTGTTTACTTAAAGTTCATTTTTCTACTTCAAGTTTTCTAAAATATTATGTGTAAATATGCAAATGAGGCAAAAACTGAAACTGTACTGAAGTATAAATAATAACAAATGTTCTTTATTTATTTATTTATATTTTAAAGCATGATATGGAAACACTTAAGTACAAGTACATGAACTGGTACAGTAACTGAGTAAATGTACTCAGTTACTTTCCTCCACTGACACTAAATTAGATTAATTTCAGGAAACTTTTATTGATAATCTTTGTTTTTTATAAGGAATCTAAAAACCTCCTCCCTAACTGAGAGTAACTATAAGTAGAAGTATAAATAGTAATACACTTTATTAATGTATTTAATATGATATGGAAATACTCGAGTACATTGCTGAGAGTATTTTACAGTAAAAGTCTGAAAACTGAAAAAGAAAAATAAAGATTATCAATAATTTCCCAAAAGTTTCCTGAAAATCTAATTTGGTTCCAGTGGAGGAAAGTAACTGAGTACATTTACTTAAATTACTGTTTATTAATATTTATACTTCTACTGAACTACATTTATTTTAAAACAGTTACTAGTTACTTTTAGTGATGGAGGAAGTATTCAGATTCTTAAGTTAAAGTATTTTCACTTATAGCCTATGGAAATACTAAAGTACATGTACCTCAAACTTTTACAGTAATCGAGTAAATGTACTCAGTAACTTTCCTCCATTGACACTAAATTAGAGTTTCAGAAAACTTTTATTATTATTGATAATCTTTGTTTTTTATAAGAAAGTGAAGACGTGTGTGTGTGTGTGTGTGTGTGTGTGTGTGTGTGTGTGTGTGTGTGTGTGTGTGTGTGTGTGTGTGTGTGTGTGTGTGTGTGTGTGTGTGTGTGTGTGTGTGTGTGTGTGTGTGTGTGTGTGTGAGCGGGCCGGCCGGTCTGTGGCGCACATGCTCAGTGAGGTTTATTTTTGCGCACAGAGGCTTTAAGAGCGCAGCGGCTGCAGGCAGCAGAGACACGGAGAGAGAGACTTCAGCGCACCGGGAGGAGAAGCGGGGGAGCAGCAGCGACCCATCAGCTGAGTCTCACCCGCAGATGAGCCACCACGGACCCGGCCGCAGACCCGGCCGTGCGCTGGGCACCCGGAGCTAGCGCGCGTGCATTTGGTGCCCCACGGCTCTCTAACGCACAACTCCACAGACTTTATCATTTCTCTTCCTCCCGGGGCTCCCGCAGATCACCGCCACCATCATGGTGCTGGGCAAAGTCCGGGCCTTGGCGGTCTACTTCGACAGCCTGAACGAGAACAACCTGCCCGCGTTCTCCGGCGGGGACCTGGTGTCGGGCCGGGTGGTGGTGGAGGTCGCCGGGGATGTGCGGGTGAAGAGCTTGGACATAACGGCGAAAGGAGTCGCCAAGGTCCGCTGGACGGAGTCGAGGAACGCCGGAGCCAACACGGCTTACACCCAGAACTACACCGAGGAGGTGGAGTACCTGCACCACTACGACACCCTGATAGGAGAGGACAGAGGTAAGGTCCAAACTTTATTCACACAGGACTCATGTGTCAAAACAAAAAGCCCCATCAGAGCCACAGCGGCGGCAGTGGTGCTGATGCAACAGCTGATCGGGGATGCGAGACTCCCCGCAGCCCCCCCTTCAGTCCAGCACCCCGCAAAAACCCGTCAGTTTAGACCCGAACCAGCACCGATGGAGGGTTTAATAAGAGTTCTGCTGCAGTGTGCATCCTCGGTTCTGCTGCAGGAGGAGGGAGAGAGAGGGAGAGAGAGGGGGAGAGAGGGGAGAGGAAAAAGTTGCAACCCGTGTATGAAAACACTTGGAGCAAAAAGCAGAAATGGAGTCGACACCGAACAGAAAGATCTGGATCAGGTTTTTATTCAGTTTCAGTTCAGAATGTGAGTCCGAGAGCAAATCTCCATTTTGTGCTGATTACATCCTGAAGCAGCAGACAGCCAACTCCCTTTGTTAGAAGCGGTTCAAACCTGTTCAGAAACTGCCAGAGAGGGGAGGGAGGGAGGGGAGGAGAGGGGAGGGAAGGACCCGGCTGACTGTGTGTGTGTGTGTGTGTGTGTGTCAGCTGCTGGTTAAACGCCTCCCACCTGTGTGATGTTTGTAAAAACTTGATGCAAATAAGCGAAAGAAGACAGTTTGATGTAAATGAAGAGACTCTGTTACATCCACATAATGTGGGTCAGACTGTCACCTGCAACTGCTGCCTCCTCTTTCTCGTCCTCCTCTTCCTCCTCCTCCTCCTCCTCCTCTTCCTCCTCCTGTGTGTACATTTAATATTATTTATGAGCGTAAAGCTTCAGTTGTGTAAATCTTAATAAAAGAGCAGTTGGAGTCTCCTGATTTAAACTCAAACATTAAAGTTTATGTTACAGTAAATGTCTGCAGTATTAGTAAGGATTAGTGATTTAATTTACTTCTTTGAGTTGACTTTCTTTATAAAATAAAAGCCCCAAAATATTAATTAGCTGCCCATTATTAATAATCAATTAACTTTAAATAGGTTTTTCTAATCGTACGTCAGCTGTTTCTGTTTAATATAAAGTAAATTTAACACTTTATTATGTCGCTCCGTGTTTAAAAGTTATAATAAAAATGTTTTTGTGTATAAAGATCGAGGCGCCGTTTCTTTCTTCTGATCTATAATCAATTATTGAAAGATTAGTGAAGGTGAAATATTATTGAAGTTACACAGATCAAATGTTTTTTCATGCTTCATTTGTTGGAGTTAACATTTAAACAGTTTGAGTTGAACTGATGTGAAATAAAGTGTTTATATATTATATATATGTGATTATTAGACGCAGACTTCCAGTTTGTTTCAGGACATCATGGACTTTGTTATCTGCAGTCTGAGCGTACTTCCTGTTTGGTTTGACGACAGTATCAGTGAGGGTCAGAGGTCAAGAGGAAGTGAGATTATGTGGGAAAGTGTTGCAGGTTTTTACTGGATGTCGCCGTTGTCAGATAACATCACTCTGGGGCCACCCCAGTTTAACACATTCATTTACATTCATTTAACAAATGGTTTAGGTTCAATGAAAGAAAATGTATTTGGAAAAATGTCTTAATTTCTATTCATTGTTTCACTAATGAGCCACAATAATGTTTCTGAGTTCAAATATTTTCATTTTGAGGCTTTTCAAAGCAAATGTTTAATATATGAGATAGTTTGTGATTAAATCGGCTCATATTTCTGCCACTTCTTCACCCTTTAAAACACCAAAGTCACACAACAACACAAACTAACCAACCAGTGGAGGCTGTGGTAGACCAGTGGTCTGCGACGTTAAATTACTGTTTTTGTGAATGGAGTCTGGTGGACAGAACGATAAACAGCTTCCCTTTAAGTACAATCTCCACTCATAATAATAAGGTCAAAAACATGTAAAACTGTCAAAATACTACAATATTTCTAATGGAAATAATAAATAATTTGAGCAGACGTCAAATTAATAATTAAAAAACGCTGCAGTCGCGGCTCCAAACAGGAACTATTGGGAAGAGAAAAGTGAACCAGGAGGTCTTATTTTCCACCAGATTAGCTCTATAACGTTCAGGAACAAACCTTCTGTATTTTAACGTCGGCCATATTGGTAATCTGTCTTATTTTCTCAAATTCGTCGTTTAAATCCTTAAAAAACAGTTAAAATGTGTCAGTGTCCTAAAGGCCAACGTGACGTCTTCAGATCAAAAAGACTTTAATGACGAATCAAATTCCAGCGCCAATAAAAGTTCATTCTTCAACCCGACGAGGACGAGTTAACGGAGCTAAACTCCGCCTGCTGAGGAAGACCATGTGCTTCGATCGAAAGCTCAGGAAGGACTCTTAAATGGATCTCGTGGTCGGGGGAAACATCCAGGAGTGGAGACTGTACTTAAAGGGAACCTGTTTCAACTTGGACTGCCGTTATATATATATATTATATATATGCTATAGATACATCGTTCTGTCCACCAGACTCCATTCACAAAAACAGTAATTTAACGCTGCAGAGCACTGGTCTACCACAGCCTCCACTGGTTGGTTAGTTTGTGTTGTTGTGTGACTTTGGTGTTTTAAAGGGTGAAGAAGTGGGAGAAATATGAGCCGATTCAATCACAAACAATCTCATATATTAAATATTTGCTTTGAAAAGCCCAAAAATGAAAATATTTGAACCAAAAGCATCGGAAATTGTTTTATTTCAAAACCTGCAGACATTTTATCCAAGTACAAGTGTTTTTTAACTGAACTTTAGCCGATCACTGAGTCTAAAATGTGTCATTAAATTAATTTCTGTTGCATTAAAAAGGGAAAGAAGCAAAAACATGATTTTATATTTTATTTATTAATGTTCGAGTCATAAAACAACCTGAATGTGAAACTTTTCCTCTCATCATTTCTCTCATTGAGACTCTACCTGGAGTTCAGTTAGTGTGCAACACCCTTCCTCACCCCTTCCTCCTCCTCCCCCCACCTACTCTCATGCAACACACCACATGGCTGTACTAATGTGGGCAGGGGCTTGTCGGGGCTGCACCAATCGGGGCCCGGCCTGTAATTCGTGTCACGTTCTCGGCCAATCAGGAGCCGAGTTGTAATGCGTGCGTTGGAGTTTCCAGCTGAAGGAAGCTGCTCAGTCTGGTTCATACCGGTCTACTCCTGCTCGCTCCGTGTTGCCGGTCACACACACACACACACATACACACACACACACACACACACACACACACACACACACACACACACACACACACACACAGGCATGCAAGCTGTTTATGACAGCTCTCACACCAACACAGACAGACAGACAGACAGACAGGCAGGCAGACAGACAGGCAGGCAGCAGAGATGCAGGCTGCTGAGGTGGCAGGAAGCTGAAGTTCAGACGGGTTGATTGGAGACGTTTAAAACACAAACAATAACAGAAGAAATGAGGAAGTGAATAGAGGTCATGTTCTTTCTCTCGCACAGGGCGTGTTGCCTTCAGCGGCTCCTCACTACTACGCCTTTTAATAGCTCGCCAATACCGCGAGTTCTCCTCAAAGCAGTGTGTGTGTGTGTATGTGTGTGTCAGTTCTTTGACTTTTAATGTGATTATTGTCTGTGTGTGTAGAAGAGCTCTGGTGAAGACTTTAATAAAATATAACTTTATGTCGTATCAGCTGAAACTTTCACTGAATCCTGATATTAGTACACGAGTTCGAGTTCCTCTGTGCTTCAGTCAGAGAAAGATAGTTGATTGTTGAGTCTCATTCTCAGACGCTTTGGGTTTTCGAGCTTTAAGCCACCAACCCAAAGCAAATCTTTCTCTGATTGGTTGTTTTGGTTTTGGCCCGGCGGACTCCTGCAGACGCCGTTAGGAGCCACCAGGAGGAGCCAGAAGAAGCTAAAAAAATTCTTCATAAAGAGCAAGATGACGTCTTTATTTGGTTGTTTTTGTCCGACCAGAAGTCAAAAAACAACTGAATCGATGATTAAAATTGACTAATCGATGCGGCTCAAACGTCTGCAGATAAAATGAATGTTTCCTGTAACTTGTTGCAAATAAATCCTCTGGAGGTGAAGACGAGTGAGTTGTGTGATAAAGATATTTGACAACGTGGCTTTCTCTTTCAGACGAGGACTGTCCGGAGGAAGGTCTGACTGTTCTGCACACCGGCTTACACGAGTTTGCTTTCAGTTTCAACCTGCCTCAGATGTGAGTACGTTTACTCGTGTTGTGTACATTTTACGGTACTTTCCTCGAGTTTTTGACTTTTCTTCCGATATTTTGCAATAAAAAATTTAGTTTTACATGGATTTGGAAGTTTCCACAACAGAAATGTTGAATAATAATGTTTGAAATGTGGTTTATCAGTGTATAAGCATTGGTAAACTGTCCAAATACAGTTTTTATCAGTGAAAACAGCAATAATTACTGTAATTTCACAGATAATGACTTTTATTAGAGTTATATAACTTTTAAAATTCAGATTAAAATAAGAAAAATTAAAAAACAGCACTCTGTTGTAAATGTAAGCCTGATTATTTGTATTATAGTTCACCTGTATTTATAGCTCATTTCATTGGTTTATAGTGTAAATATCTTTAATTAAACATTAAAAAGCCCCAAAATTAGGATTTAATGTAAAATTAAATCTAAAATCTGTGTTTTAATTACAGAACATTACTGTAATTTTTACAAGTCAGTTATTATATTATAATATATGTAATAAGATTGTTTTTACACTGTATTAATGTCATATATACTAATCAGTCTCAGGAACATTTAATACTTAAAGTACATTTCACTGATATACTGTAGTTCTTTGATGTTGTACTGTAACATTGAGTGAACAGTGAAGACTCATTACAACAACCACAGACCACCCACACTTCCTAACGCTCTTTTTCTTTCCCGCCGCACTTCCTCCCGTCCATCAGGGCTCTCGCCACTTCCTTTGAAGGGAAGCACGGCAGCGTGAGGTACTGGGTGAAAGCCGAACTGCACCGTCCGTGGCTGCTCCCCGTCAAAGTGAAGAAAGAGTTCATTGTGTTCGAGCACATCGACATCAACACGCCGCTGCTGCTGGTAGGCGCTGGGAAACTCTCTGATCAGCTTTCTGGAGGATGAGACGGTTGATACCACCTAACTTAGCCTAGCTTAGCATAAAGACTGGAAACAAGAGGGAAACAGCAACAAGTATGACTCAAAGGAGTCTTGCATTCAATAAAAACATCAGATACTTGTTTCAGTTAAAGCTCCTATAAGGAACTTTCATTTAGTGTTGCCTCTGGCGCCCCCTGTGGACAGAACTGGTAGTGTTTCCACCACCTCGTTTCATTGATTTCAAGGGGAAACTGAACCAGTGGCATAAAGAATATAGAAAAACTTCTCACTGATGGTGTTGTTTGTTTGTGTACATCATAGAGAGGCATCACTATTAGACTGAGTTTCTTAATTATGTTTAACTTTAAGCTTTAATATAATAATAAACAGTGTAAACAGTGAGTTATATATAAATTAAACCCTCGTACAGTTATAATGAACACTTTAATTAGCTGTAGAGGTGATGGCGATGTTTATTGAGACTGTTTATTTTTTTTAAAAAAGACTAAAACTAAAAATTTAACTAAAACGAAACATTTTTAAGCAATAAAAACTAAAAATTATCTGGAAACTAACTTAAAAACAAAAAATAATACAGAAAAACAAAACAAATAAAAAATAGAAGTTAAAGTTATGCATAATTGGGGGCGTGGTCTTCCTCTTTCATTCAACGAGTGTCTTTACTGTGTCTCCTTCAGGCTCCTCAGGCCGGTACCAAGGAGAAAACTCTGTGCTGCTGGTTCTGTGCTTCGGGTCCGATCTCCCTCAGTGCCAAGATAGAGCGGAAGGGCTACACTCCAGGTGAGCCAGACCTCCTCTTCCTCCTCCTCCTCTTCACTCCTCCTCCTCTTCTTTACTGTGTCACTTATTCCAGCTCTCTCTCTCTCTCAGTCTGACAGACTGATCTCTTCTCCCCTTCTCTCCAAGGTGAGTCGATCCAGATCTTCGCCGAGGTGGAGAACTGTTCGTCCCGCGTCGTGGTGCCGAAGGCGGCTCTGTACCAGACCCAGACCTTCTTCGCAAAGGGCAAAGGCAAACAGATCCAGCAGCTGGTGTCCAACCTGAGGGGGGACCCGCTGCCTCAGGGGAAGAGCCAGAGCTGGGAGGGCAAACTGCTCAAGATCCCCCCGGTGTCCCCCTCCATCCTGGACTGCCCCATCATCAGAGTGGAGTACGCCCTCGTGGTGAGTCTGAACCAGAACCACTGAGAACCAGAACTATCACAGAATCACAGAATGTCTGTCAGTTAATTATAAAATCAATTAATCTTCTGGCTAATGATAAATAATAATAATAAAGTAACATACAAGCAACTAACAACTAGCTAATAACCTATTAATAACACTAGAAACTAATAATAACATTAAAATAACCCAACAATAACATACTAAGACTGCTAATAACCTATAAATAACACAGTACAACGACTTATAACATATTAATAAGATATTAATAACCCACTGTTACTACTAATAACCTACTAATAACACACTAAGATGGATAATAACCTGCTAATAACCTATTAATAACACTAGAAACTAATAATAACATTCTAATAACCAACTCTAACTACTAATAACCCAACAATAACATACTAAGACTGCTAATAACCTATAAATAAACTACTAATAACATGCTAATAACACACAAATAACCTTTTAGTAACACAAGAAACTAATAACTAAACATTAATTAATAATCTGCTGGGTGAAGAGAAAATCTCCTAAAAACACTTGTTTATTTCTCTGCGTCAGTTTCTACATAAATAAATATCATGAGGCAGCAAACAGTGTAATATTATTATTATTATTATTATTAATAAATAGGTGTTGGAGATGTTTCATGGAGCTGCACTGTCCCGACTCCCACTAAGACTCCTGCTGTCCCTTCTCTTCCTGCAGGTGTACGTGGACGTTCCCGGCGGGTTGAATCTGTCTCTGTCGTTGCCGTTGGTGATCGGGACCATACCGCTGCACACCTGCGCCACCCGGACCTCCAGCATCAGCAGCAACTGCAGCACGCTGAGCTGGCTGGGCCTGCAGGAGAGGCCGGAGGGTACGCACAGCCAACACTGAACGCACCTTTCATCGCTTATTTAACGAACACGACGTCTTACGCTCGTCTGTTTGTTGCAGCGCCGCCGAATTACAGCGACCTGGCGATATCGGAGTCTCAGAGACGGGACTGTCTGCGGGGCTGCGATCGGTCGGACGGGGAGGCAGAGGACCAGGGATCTCTGCTGACCTACATCACAGAGTTCAGATATCTGCCGCCGCCGCTCTACTCAGAGGTACGGACACTTTCAGATCCAAATGAACTTCTTAAACAATCTCTGTATTTTTTACAATTATTAACAATCATACAGACTTTATAGGATCCTTTTTTTATACAGTCAGTGTTTCCTTGTCCCTGACGATTGGCCGTTGTTCTATTAGACAATTAGTTAGCTAGCACGATACCTAACTTGCTTAACATTAGTGAACGGCCCCCGAGTTAAATACTTTCTTATTCAGGATAATACTATTTAGAAATCCTGAAAATACCTAAAAAAAAACGTTGCTGGGACAGATGCTGACACACGTGATAAAAACACAAAGGTTAGACTTTATCGGGAACATTTGATCAGTGGAAAGGTTCAATAAAATGAGCTGTCTGTATTTCTATCACAACACAAGTGTCTTCACTCTTTGAGGGTTTTTATTTACCCCTCCATCAGCAGTCTGTAAACATGCAGCTCTGTCTCTGCCCTCCCTTCCCTCCCCCCCTTCAGGTCGACCCTTACCCCGACCCCGTGGAGGTGTGCGGTGCCGCGGACGTCAGGAGACCCGACACGTGTCCGTCCCGCTGAGGCTTCTGCACAAACACGACGCCGTCACCCTCAGCTCCAGGCCCTACACAGCCAGCTTCTCACCAGATTATATATCACCATAAACACGGCCAGACCCTCCCCGACCCCGGGAGCGTCAGCTGACAGAGTATTCGGTGACCATTGACACATGGACCAGGGATTTCAAGGCATGCCGGATCCTCTCCGACGCCACTGTATGACTCTGATGAGGCAGAAAACAAAGATGGCTCCCGAGCGGTCAGAGGACGCCTCCTTCTGCCTCACAGTGAATTTTGCACATACCGTTATTACTGTTTTTCTATTGGTGGGTTTTATATTCTGCAGATTGCCGCAGGCCTATATGCTACAGTAGATTCTGTCCTCTTTAACCTAAATGGCACATTTAAAACAGGACAAAAGCTATCTTCGGTTAAAGTTTGAGCTCCGGACTTCAGGTGGTTTCCTCCTGCAAAACAAAGCAACACAGAGGAGACGCATACTAAAAAAGATGTTTCTGATAAAAACGACCACCTCGAGCACTTAAACTAAAGCTCAAATTGTGTGTGAATGTGTGTGTGTTTGTGTGAGAGAGAGTGTGTGTTTGGTTTTAAATGACCAGGTATAAACAGGTTCTAGAGAATAAAAAAAGCACAACTCCGACCAACCAAGATAAAGTACCACAAGTCGCCTGTTGGTTTTCTGCTCCGAACTGAAGCTTCTCTCGCTGTAGATGTTTTCCTCTGGATGTTTCTAAAGAAGCTTTCGTGCTCGCGATAAGAATGACAAAAAAAGTGTAACAGATAAATGTTTACAGATGTATGAATATATCAAATTGAGAATGTTGTTCAAACTTCTTCCACCTAAAACTTCAAAGTGCAATATATTTTTGTATTTGTGATTTTTTTGCACTAGTTTTTCATATACGCTGTTGCTGTTTATTCCATTTCTGTGCATTATATATTATTGTCATGATCTTACTGCTGTCATGATCAACTTTTGATAAAATAAAAAGTTTATTTTATAAAATACTTAAACGCTTGCACTGTTTTTTTCTTCTGTATAATTAAAGTTTTTCATATTTTCGTAGTTAAAGACCCCCTCCAAACATGTATTAAAGCTATAATATGTAACATTTCTGCACTGAAATGTGTATAAACTCTAAATCTATGTTCTGTATGCAGTTGAGTTGAGTACTGTTTGTCCAGTGTGAAGCCACATTGTTACCATCCACTGTTTAGATCTTGGTGCTTTTTAACTCTAGATTTGAACCGGATGAAGGATTTTAGTCATCGGACGTCTGGATCTTAAGTTATCAGAGAAACAAGCTGAGCTAACGTTAGCAGCAGCTCGGCTCGCAGCCCCTCCGGGACGTCCTTTGTCTGTCCAACAGCGTGGGAGAAGCAGTGATTGTTAAGGTGGAACTGCTTTATTCAGTGTGTTTAAGGTGGAACTGCTTTATTCAGTGTGTTTAGTGGTTTTAATCAGCGGGTCTGTTTGTGTTGGAGAGGAGGAGACCTCTGTGGATCATTGGGCTCCCGGTAGAAACCTCCTGAACCATGAACACTGAAGGAATCCTAACCGGGAGAAGCTGACTGCAATGACGCCAATGGTGGTGAAGACAACAACTCCCATGATCCCACGCTGCTTCACCACCTCATTGAACTTCATCTCCTGTTAATGTTTGACCCCCTAGTGGCAGAAATGACACACTGCACCTTTAAGACGAATACAGATAGCTGTAATTGGAACAATAATGTGAGTTTGGGTCAAACAGAGTCAATGGAGCCTTAATTAGTATCATTGGTAACTTTAACCTACTGTTTCATGTCAAAACGGCTGCTGTGAAAAAGGTCTATTGTGAGATGTGATGAGGCCTCATTCAGAAAGACTTTCTTGTGTTTTAAGACTCATTTGACCACAAAACGAAGCCGTATTAGTTACTTGTTACTTCTTTTGTACTTGAAACTGTATATGGCTGCACAACCGTCTCTGCATGTATAAGCAAGCAGACAGAGTATCATCTCTCCACGCTCTCTTGCACAGTTTGAAAAATCCTCCGCACATTCACACAAACCGCTGTTGACAAACGGCTTCCTCTTACATGAAATTATATCACGTTTGTAAAGTCTCTGTTAGCTCTGAGTTTTACCTTGACCCATAATTACACAATGCTTTCACATACCGAGAACAAAAACCTCCCGCACACACGCACCAGTGATGGGAGGTCACATGAATAATGTTTTGGCTTCTTCTATACAGGCTGCGGCTGATAAACAGAAACTGGTTTGAACTGGATGAACACAGGCTACAGACAGAAGAGTGAATGTGCACAGACAGACAGACAGACAGACAGACAGACAGACAGACAGACCTGGTACGAGAGTCTGACCCTCAGGGACAAAGCAACATAAAGTGCCTTCTACTCAGTTTTGAGGCACTTCGACTTGAGTATTTCACATTTTCTGTTACTTTCTGCTTCTACTCGACCACATTAAAGAGGCAAATATTGCACTTTTTACTCCACTACATTAATCTGATAACTTTAGTTACTCTGTAGGTTCAGATTACTATTACAAAATATAATCTAAAAACAAAATAATAAGTATCAAACTAATAGATTAAAGCAGTGTTTCTCAACCCCCTAGGAATACTGCATGTATACATACATATGTGCAGGGTTTGGGAGTAACTGATTACATGTAATGTGAGTTACATTATAAGGATTAAAAAAAAAGGTGTAATCAGATTACAGTTACATTTAGTATATATGTGGCTATATATTTAGTATATACATTTTTCTTTATAAATACACAGAGGACACATTGTTGATGCTGACAATCTTTCTGTTTCCATTTGCTCTTCTAAAGTCACATTGTTCTGTTGTCTTATAGAAAACACTCATCAGAAAGACGCTGACTCAGACTTTCTGCATGAGGATAAAAAACTGGTTCGCCTTGAATTTCGTGCTGGATTTGTTTTTCTTAATAAACCAGACACTAATGGTGCAGTGCTGTAATCAGCCTCTTTATCTCAGGTCAGAGTTTACATTAAGGGAAACAGTTCAATATAAGGTTTAATACAAAAGCTCCACCTCAACCAGCTGCACCAACACATTAATGCGTCAATAATTATAATATAATAATATATTTAAGCCATTCTGCATAATGAACACTTTTATTTTGATGCAGGAATTTATTTTTATTTCTACACTGTATGATTTTACCTTAAAGCTGCAGCAGGTAACTTATAAATATCTTTTTGTCATATTCACTGAAACTTTTATGATATCCTGACAGTTGAACACGAGAAAGATAATCTGTGAATAAATCAGCCTCCTCTGGTTCCTCCTGGTCCTCCTAAGTAGAATTACAAGAATCCACCGGGCCCGAATGAAAACAACCAATCAGAGCCATCGAATATGGACTTTTTATTACTTTTTATTACTATTAATATATAAAGCACCAAGATCTAAACAGTGGATGGTAACAATGTGGCTTCAGACTGGATAAACAGTCAATGTATGACAGCTTCTGGCAGACAACCACAACGCTGACGCAGGCACAAAGGAGATATGACACCATCGACAGGCGACCGGTGAAACGCAGCGTTACCTGAATAAAGCTCAGATTTCTCTGAGTTTGAACATTGTTGGATTGATTATAGATTATTGATTGAATCAACTCCATATAGAAACACAGCTCCTGAGTTTACACACTGTTTAACGATGCTTCTTCCACCTCTGGATATGTACATAGCTCATATTTACTGAAGTCATGCGTTACCCTTGGGACGGCTAAAAGTGTTTGTTCAAGTTACATATGCATATCACACACACACACACACACACACACACACACACACACACACACACACACACACACAAGGTACTTCACAGGCATCTGGGCAAAGGGCCAGTTCACAGGGTGTCCTTGACGACTTCTAAACACAGCTCAGGTTTGGTGGCTGTGTGTGGATCAGCTGTTTCCAAACAGCAACATAACAAAAAGCTTCATTTCCATCAAATCAAAACACGTGTGAATAAAATGTAAACAGGCACAAACACTGGTCTTTATTATGGAGCTCAGTCTCACTGGGATTCGCTGCCTTCAGCAGTCAGGGCTTCAGAAACTGCTGAAACCATTCGCCCTGTATTTTGGCATCCTGTTCATGAGCCGAGGGCCAGCCAACAATCTATGGACGTTACCCAGACGGCCAAAAATAAACACGAGCTGTCTGCGTCCATGTCGAAGCTGTGAGACAGAATTTATGAGACGTTTGTACTTTAAACCCTCTTGTTCCTCTGAACCAGCAGCAAAATCCTGTTCATGTTCTAATGGTCAGAATAAAACAAATGTGAACGGAGGTCTGAAAGGCTTTTGTTTTTAAATTAGAAAACCAAAACTGGGAAATGGGACTTCTTTTTGTTTTTGGAAATAAAAAACACAAAAAAATGACCCGTTTTATTTATAAATCATAGTCATAGTAACATTTCTTATTTCAATATAAAAATCAATTTGCTGCAAAGTAAACTGACCCTGAAGGAATGTTTCTCTACGAGCCTTCAAATTAAAGCTGAAATAAAGAACCGTCCTTGCTTTGTGGTTCTTTGGTTTTGGACTTTCAGCTGATGGTTGAGTTTAACTTTACATCAGTGAATTAATTCATCAGATATGTCAAATTAAATCCAAATGTTTTCACTTGTTGCAGCTGATTCACCAGCAGGTGGCAGCACACAGAGCCTGATTGATACGTCCATCGTTAATCAATCATTAAATTGTCACTAAAGTTTACAAGTGGATATTGAATAGTTTGGACATAAAGAATCACTTTCAATGACAACAAATCAAATTTTATTATACGTTAAATTATCACAAATATCATAATAATGTCATAGATTCAACAACTGCATCAACTAATTCTTCTTTTATAGAAACAAATGTTAATTAATGAACAGTTTAAAGTCTTTTTTCAGGCAATAATAGCAAATATCCTTTCGTATCCCATCGTTTCTCCTTTTGTTTGACTAAAGTAAAGGTAAATGTTGGACTTTTTGTCCTCATGTGCATTTATTTTTTCACAATTCAGGAATTTCTTTGTGTCAATTAATCACTTTATCATGAAAATTAACTGTCTGAATAATCAATAATGAACTTGATCATTACTTTCAGTCCTGTGATGTTCTGCACTGTGTGTGAATGAGAGGACACTAGCATAATACAGTTAATTACAGCCCTCAGTTCTCAGCATCATTACTCCTCATTAGTATTTATCACTGTTATATACTGGAACATATATATTTTAAATGTCTTCTATATAATAAAGTAATATAATGTACATATTTGCAGACTCTTATTTAATATTTATATTATTATAATGTATTTATCAGCAACTCTAGCAGCTGTAATGCAACAGGAAGTGTTTCTGCTCTGAGCACCAGTCTGTGGCGCCCCCTGGTGGTCTGCAGCTGCAACAGACGGCAGGGTGTGTAACAATATGACTGAAAGGAAAAAAGGACAAACTCAGGAAAATGAAGGGAATAAGACACAAAAAGAGATATATAATATATACTCATGGTGGTACTGTTGGGTCTCTGTAAATAATGTTATAAAGAGTTCAGTCTAGACCTGCTCTATTTGAAAAGTGTCCTGAGATAACTTCTGTTATGAATTGGGCTATACAAATAAAATTGAATTGAATTGAATATTATAATATATATATGTAGATATACAAATGATCTGCTTTTAACACCATTCAACTTCATAAAAAGAGACCCAGGACTTTATCGACCTGCTTGCATTGAATCACTTTTATCTTTCTCTTCTTTGTCGTTATTTAGAAACTAAAGAACGAACTGTTAGAGGGTCTAAACTGCAGAAACAACCGGTCTAAAAACAAACTAAATATTCTTAAATATACTCAAATTGTCTTTTATTGAGCATAGACAATCTGCCAAAGGGAGAAAACTATTTTCTTGGCTAGAATTATTAAAACTAGCATAAATATCAGCCACTGAAACACTGAAATGAACCTTATATGTGATATATATGATATTATAAGTTGTGTTTACTATAATAACCAACCAGCTAACAATTAATGTAGATTTCCTAACTAGTTAGCCTGTGTTTTGCTAACATAAGCTAACTTAATATGTTCTCTCATTTTTATCTTTTAACCATCTTCAAAATGTGTTTTGCAGCCTTTAATAAAAACACAAAGCCGAAGGAGCAAAGAACGACAAACCACACAGAGACGTTTGTAACAGAGCCCGTATATTTTTGTATATTTTTTTCTGCAAAATACAAATACTACCACATTTGTGAGTGAGGGAATCGCTGTACATCATCTCTGACTGCGACGACAGAGGTGCACTTTTGTCTTTTTTCTTCTGAGAAACATTGTCTCCAAATGGCGACAAAGGCCAGCTTATGCCGCTAACAATCTCTTTAGAATATTAAACTGGTGTTTATTAGAAGCACTAGTGCACATAAAGAGGGGGGAATACAGCCCGTTTACAGTACAGAGGACATTCAACCGATGTCGCCAAATACAAATAATTTCATCAGGGGCATTTGAGGTACAAGTGGATGACAGATTTGACAAAGTCCAGGCAGTTACTCATTAAAGAATCAAACCAAAAAAACACAAATAAACACATTGTATTTCACACTTTGGTTAGTTGACACTCCGCCTGCGGCCCGAGGACGAGCTCCTGGCCCTCCTGTCCTCCGCCTCTGCTGTACTGACGAGTCGGCGGGGTGTGGGGGGGGGGCGTGCGCAGGAAATCTGAGCTGGAAGCCGACCAACCCGGAGACATCATCATAAAAGAAAACATATCTGGGCTCTGCCCGCTTTCAACTACAACAGCTAGAGGGGTTCTAATGGGTGAATTTTAGTCGCTGGATTTACAGCAAACGGGGCACAAACAGACGCAGAGGGTTCGCGGCCGAGGGTCCGAGCTCCAAATATACAGTTTTTAAACCAAAATATTCAAATGTGAACAACCCCCAGCCACCTCTCCGCCTCTAAAATAAAACAAAACAACGGTCAGCTTCAGTCTCTTCAGACTCTTATTGTGGCGGGGTGTCAGATCCAGTTTTAGGTACAAGGCACAAATGACTGTCCACAATGTCGAGTTACAGCCGACATACAGCGGTGGAAGGGGACTTACTCCTGTTTCTACACCTCAGAGGGAAATATTATCCTTTTTACTGCACTGCATTCATCTGACAGCTGTAAACATGTGTTGTTGTTGTTGTTGTTGTTGTTGTCGGTCCCTCCAGGATTTCACAACCTTTTTGTTTTTGGGGTTTCACTTAAAAAACAGTTTGAGGCCCAAAGACGCCAAACAGCAACGATTGGAGTCTATGTTTATCTGGTGACCCTCTGGAGGGGCCCGACCCCTATGTTGGGAACCACTAAACTAGCTAATTGTATTTAAAGTAGTTTAAAGCATTGAAACCTCTCTATCTCCCCCTGGTGGCTGACTGCAGTATGGGACATAAGGCCTGCTGCCTCCATGTTAGCAGATGGGTAAAATAAATGTTTTCCAAAGGTTTTTGTCACTTTGAGTTGTTCTTATCACCCAAGTTTGGTTTTAAATATTTGAAGATATAAAAAGTGGGTTTGAAATTGCATATTCATAGATTCTGGAGTTTTTAATGAGGTAGAATTTAATGTGAAAATTATACTTAAAATTAAATCACATTATTGTTTCCATGCAGACTGTCTGTATATATGTCTTAAACACACGTCTGCAGGAGGTCTTTAACTTGTAATGGATGTATTGGTACTGTAGTAAATGTACGTCTTCCACCACTGCACACGCTGTACGTAAGTTGTGCCGGAGTTGAAAACAGCAGATTGTCACCGTGATATGATGTTTGAGTCTGACACCCGCTGAACTTTAATCTCCCTGAATGTTTGATAGAAAATGTCGTGCACCACTCTGTACTGTTATTAAATAGAGCTGCGGACATCCAAGAATATCAATTTGATATAATAAGGAATATTCAAAAAAAAACAAACAAACAATAACACTATAAACTGTGCAGCAAAGCATCACTGTCCGGTTGGATATGGCTTTTTAGGAGTGCAATCCTTCCTCTGACCGCTAAATCCTGCTAAGCTATCAGCACATGCTGTGTAACAAGGCCATGAAGGAAGTTTTATTTCTCACCCACAAAGACCGAATGTGATTTATTTCTGTTGTTTGATGTGTTAAAAACACAGATGAGTTGTTTTGTTTTGAAGGAAAATGACACAGGTTGTTTTTTTGTATGGAAGCAAGTAAAGGCCAAAATAATAACTTTTTTTTTATTTGTATAGCAACAATCATCAGTATAGAACATAAGTTAACTAAAATTATAGAGAAGTCTGTCAAATAAAGGCAAAAAGCTCTAAAAATAAAATAAAATTATGAAACCACTATTGAATACATTTTTCTGAATACTTGAAATATATATGTAAAAAAATCTAACGAAAATCATGTTTCATAAATTAAATAAATTTAAAATTCAAGCAACTTAAATTCAGAAAGATGGTTATCAAAGTAAAATATTGAGACCTTACAAATTTACAAACATTTAGTAACTTCCCTTAAAATGTCGTTTTACATCACTAATTTCTTATAATCAATATAAATCTCTTTGTGTTGAGTTTTTAGGAGACGTATTTGGCTTTTATTTGTATTTAATTCATGTTTGAGTATTTGTGGCAGTAAACAAGAATGTGAATCCAAATAAATAAAAGTTGTGTTAATAGTTAATTTCGGCCTTTCTTTGCTTCCGTACTGTTGTGAATCTGGATTGCATTCGCTGAAAATCACATTTTTTTTCTAACCCAGCTCTGAAAATTATTCACTAACTCTGATAAGCGTCTTCACGTCAAGTGAAAATTGTCCAAAGCGTCTTTTCTCTGCAACCTGTTGCAAATAAACATCCGTCTCACTCACACTGAAACCTCCTCGGCCGCCATTTCTCTCTCACCAGAGCTTCATTCCTCTCCCTCTCTTGCTGAACTTCCTCTCTCTTTCTACCTGTCTTTTTTTATTTGCCACGCTTTACCTTCTATACATTCATATATAAATGTGCTATTTTTTATTTATTTTTTTTTAAATGTGCGCAAATATGTTGAACCTGCAACTATGTTGAACCTGCGTGGACCGAGCGCTTCGCCTCGGGACGCCTGCTCTCGCGGCTCCAAAAGGTTATTGAACTCACCAGTAGCTTCAGAGTACCAGACTTCTTCACTTTTACCTTTTTTGTGTTAGTTTGCATACATGTGCACATACGTGAATGTGCATGTAACATATTTGTTATTTACTTATATCCCGAACACACACACAAAACAAGCGATGCATGTACACCGACGGACTCTCCAGCTGCTTGAGTACGAGTTCGACTCCGATTTATCAAACTGCTAAAACATTCTGGACTTCACCGAAAGATACAAAAACCTTCCCTTTTACGCCGACTCACAGACTAAACACCAGTAATAATTTATCAGAAGTGATGTATATAATGCAGAACAGGGCAGATTTAGCCTACAGTGCTATCATTGAACATTATAGTATGATTTCTTTCCATTTCAGCTAATTATTATCATTTACTTAAAGCCTCTGACCATATTAAAAAAATTTGGTAGATAAAAACAATCCAATAAAATCATGATTATATGGTGATCTATTCCTCTTCCAACCTTGTGCATGCCCTCGCCTCTTACACATCATAAATACATATATATAAATGTATTATATAGAGATTAATAAAAAAATTCACGTTCTTGCCAAACAAAATGAGAGGGGTTTATCTTTTGAGCACTGTGGCAGACGTTGGGTAAATCCTTGTCTCTGATTGGCTGACTGTGGCTCGTCGCTGTGAGTCGAAGGGAAGTAGCCTGAGAAATGTTTCACTAATTCAGTTTCAGCGAAGAACTCTTTGAGTGTTAAAAGTTTGATAAATACTGATCTCTTTCCTCTAGTGTACAGCTACAGTACATGTTGTAAATACAGCAGTCTGACTCCCCCTCATGTACATGTTACCATTACACATATAGCACACCCACTCAGTACAAGAAGAATATAATAATAATAATAATAATAATAATAATAATAATAACAACACTATAAGGTAACTTTACTAACTCCCCTCTGGCTGCAGCCCGGCTCCCATCATGTCGCCCACCCCTCTGATAGCCTCATCCGCTTTACAGATGGGCTGTGATGCTCCTCCTGACTGGACAGAGGTCGAAGGAGGAAGCTGTCATTCCCGTGATGATCCTCGCGCTCCTCGCTGCCTTCGTACGAGCTCCCACAGCTGGACACGCTGTCGCCGGGGGAGTGACCCGGCTCGCCGGGGCCCCGGCCTCCGACGGAGTATCCGGCTGTGGTAACGCCTCCGCCGAGCCCCGCGCCGATCATCCCGATTCCACGGTCCCTGGGAGGTGAGGCTGGCTCGGACTTGATGTGGAGGTGCTGGTGGCCGACGAGGTTCAAGTTCGAGTTCTGACACAAGTTCCTGGTAGGCGAGAAAATAAAAACATAGAAGCATGAAATAGGAATCTGCACAGGAATAAAAGACAGTGTCATCAGCGTAAAGGCGAACCTGCAGTTGTACAATGAAGAGGTGATACTGTTCAAATAAATGATGAATGAAACTGGTTCAAAGGCTTGGCGACTCCCTTTGTGAAGATGAAAATAAAGACAACACAACAGGGTGAAGTCAGGTCTCTAAACCTCAGACAACCTGACCAGTGGTGATGGATGTGACACCAGATCCTGTGCAGACTTTTTGTCTCAGATTAGAAGAAGAAATCTGTCTGGGACCATTCGATGTACGTCTGAAGAAACAGAAATCTGAACACGCTATGATAGATGCTCACCCCATGTGTCCGAGTGCTGAGTGCTGCAGATTCTGTATCTGCTGCTGCTGCCAGTTTGTAACTGATCCAAGGCCAGAACCTCCAAACCCAGACAGGGAGGACAGGTCGTTGCCAAGGGAGAACTCTGAGAGAAAACAAACACATCACTCAAGTCAGAGATGTCTTTTTAACCCTTTTTTAGATCACACTCCCAGTCATACAGTAATTAAATCTAACAATTTATATCAGAATCCAATCATTGTGTCTTCCTGTGAAACTAAATGTGACGCGTGCTTACGTCAGCATGAACTAACCGATTTCAACCAATAATATCACAACATTCACCTAGCCCACTGATTATTGTACAAACACACAAGCCCGCGGCAGTGTTGCTGTGCTGTAATCACCTGTGCCATAAGAAGAGGAGAGTGTGGACGGATACCCGCCCATCCCCTGTCCAGGTAGATTCTGAGCAGTGATGGACACGGCAGGAGTCGACAGCGTCTGAGCGCTCTGAGAGTGATTTATTCTCTGGTTCTGCAAAGAAAAGAGAAATCTATCAGACAGACTACACACACTGATACTGGAGTAAAAGCATGAATGTAAAACTCTACTAAATTCAAAATCTTAATTAAAGAGTTACTTACCAACATCAGATCAAAATCCTCACACTGGAGGGCAGCGTTAAAGCACAGACTTTAATGAGTCTCCATGTATAAATAATAGAAGCTTCAGGGAAATTAACACAATAAAATAAAGAGATAAAATGACGGACACACTCACAATGGTTGGCATGTTGTTGCACTTGTTGGAGGGGGGCATCAGCGTCCGGAGGTCTGGCTTACGGCTCATGCTCATTGGAGGACTCTTATCCTGCATGTTCTTGGAGACTCCTCCTGGAGACAGCAGCCCGGGGGAGGTGCAGTGGTTGCTGTAGCTGCCATTTCCTGTTGAGGAAACACGGACAGAGGTTCATGTTTAAATGTGTTTTTTAATTCTGATTCACTACCGATAACCTACAGTGAGACAACAGCCTTCATGCACAGGCAGGTCCATCGAACTGTCAGTGTTTCTGAAAGCTTTATTTTCTTGGATATATTATTATTATTATTATATCTTAACCGTCCTGATCAATCACAATGAGAATTTGATGAGGCCCTCTCTCCTTACATGGGGGTTTCTTCCCCCATAATATAAAGATAAGATGCTGAATAATAACACAAGCCTTCTGTAACAGTCTGGAAGAGCAGAAAGGACTCGTACCCACAGTGGAGACCACAGTGCTCGTCAGCTCTGCACCCATCAGACCTACAGACACAGAACACACATGGTCAGATTCCAGGAGGTCAGATGTTTAATTCTTAATGTTCACACACACACACACACACACACACACACACACACACACACACACACACACACACACACACACACACACACACACACACACACACACACACACACACACACACACCTGCGTTTCCAGTGCTGGAGGGCCGCTGGGGTGACATGCTGTTTCTCTGCAGGGAAGAGATGGGCAGCAGGTTGTGGTTGTTGAGACCGCAGCCGATCCCGGGGTGGGAGTACAGCAGACTGCTGGGGTTGCTGCCAGGGACCGTCACGCCCATGTCGTAGTTGGAGGGAGGCAGACCCTGCTGGACAGTTCAGGAGCCGGTTAACATCACACGGTAACGGTCGATTGATATCGGCCGATCGATTGCAGATATATTGGAGCAGTATTGGTCAAACTGATATTTATAGTACTGATGTAAAGCTACTTATTTTCTTTTTATTTATTCTTTATTTTCTCAGTGTTTCTTTCTAGAATTGGTGTTAAATTGTATAACATGTTTAAGAATATTTAACTCAAACATTCTTTAATAAATTTAAGAAAGTCATACTGCTACAAAAAAAAATTCACTATACATAAATCTTTAGCTCTAAAATCAATATCAGCTTCATAAAGTCAATGAATTATCAGTGCGTAATAATAATCATTTATTTTAATTTCTTACACAAAACAACAGGTAGGATTTATCTAAAGAATGTTTGTCCACTTTGATGAGTTATGTGATAAATATGTAAATATTTAATAAATTTAGGGTAAACAACAGGTTATAAACTTATTTTTAAAATACACAAATGTTGAATTATCCCATCGGTATCGTTCGTAAGAAGCAGGTAATCATCAGTTATTGGCTGAAAAGAGAATTCATATCGTGCGTCTGTGAGGAGACGTCATTAAGACTTACACAGATTCTCTGTCTGTTGATCATCAGGTCGATGTCCTCGTTGATTTTGCGATATTTGTCGTCCGACTCTGGGCTCTGGCCAGCAGAGTCGTCGGCCTCGATGTCGGGGCTGTCGCAGCCGTTTAAACCTTTCTTACGCAGCGTCTGAAAGACACAAACACACAAACAGAGATAATTCAGCAACTTAAATACTCGTTTTCTATTTCAAATATACACAGAAACATACATATATGTGTATTTTTATGGTTAAAATTGTTGTTCTCCTTCCTACAGTTTGATGTTTGAATGATGTTTGTGCAGTTTGACACCAGAAGGAATATAAAATATCTACTCACGTACTTAGTTTTTATCCTTATTACTGTGACTTTTTGCACAAACTGCACATCTTCCTTTTAAAATAAGAACCATATTGTCTGTTGTTGTCTTTATAATATTTTCTATTTATGCTTCTTGACTTGCAGTTCTCGTTTCCCTCGTCCTGTTTATTGTTCTGCACCAATAAACTGAGGCAATAAAACAATTAAATCAATGATATTCCTAAAGCCCAGTATGAGGAATAACTAATGCTGACGCTACGTTACGCTATAATAATGTTTATATGTACACGAAGTGCTTCACACAGGGCGACAATAAAGTCACAACAAGTAGATTTTGCAACTGCAGCGTTCAGAGTTCACAACATAGAATCATATTAACGTTTTTAGACTATTCCATCAGACTTAAGAAGTGAGAACAAGAGACAGAAGCCTCTCCTTCTCACTTCACTGAAATAACAGCAGAAAGGCAGAAGCTGCAGTGAATATTTCAACCACAAGAGGGCGCCATCTGAGCAGAAACCCACAAAAAGAGACGTCAGTGTCTTCATCCATTACAACAAAGAAACACCCTGACTTTCTGTCAGTTTTATGTGTGACTGAACATTAAAGAACACGTGGACGTCTATTAGAGGATGATGATTCTCTACGAGGCACTTTGAGTATTTCAGCTTTCTGCTACTTTCTACATTTCCTCCGTTACAATTTAAAAAGGAGAAATATTCTGATTTTTTACTTCAAAACTGTGAACGCAGAGTGCTTGTACACAGTTATGTGCTACTTTTACTTCAGTAAAACCTCTGAGTACTCCTTCCCCCGCTGTGTGTTGTACAGTATGCGGTTTCCTGCTTCAGCACTTCACAGCCCATTAGTCCAGTCTGTCACTGAATGACTGCAACACACACACACACACACACACACACACACACACACACACACAGGGCTCGGTGCAGCTATCCCACTCATCCCAGTCATGTCCACCTGTTTGGTTTTAGGGGGAAGGAGGGGTAGGGTGAGAGGAAGGAGGGAGGAAGAGGGTGAGGCAGCAGCCACCACCAATACTAGCGTGGCTGCCGGAGGGATGGCCGTAGAAGGCTATTTTTTGCTCCTGTGCTCCGCGGCGTTTTCTCGTCACTCCCAACCCTCCCTCACAATCTGTCAATCTGGCTCGTCCGCTAAAACATAAAACCGGCTCCAGTAGCCTCCATTCCCCTCTTCAAACACACACACACACACACACACACACACACACACACACACACACACACACACACACACACACACACACACACACACACACACACACACACACACACACACACACACACACAACACACACACACTGCACTCGACATTACACACCCACGCCTTCCTTTCCCAATAAAAAGCACAGCCGGTGTGGGTGAGATACAGTGGGAGAATTCAGATTGTTCCTTTAAACCTGCAATAAGCGACTATATGTTTGTCTTCAGCAGAAACCGGCTGATCTATCATCGACCTTTAAGTCGAAACCTGAGGAATTTAAAGTCCAGGGGAAATGAAAACTGTCAGTTTAACCCTTTAAGATCACATCCTCAGTTAAATTGTTCCCATGTTGACAAAGTCTGACAAAATATTCACAAAAACTCAATTTCTTCTTTCTTTCTTTCTTTCTTTCTTTCTTTTTTCTTTCTTTCTTTCTTTCTGTACAAACACACAACTTTATCAGTGATTTGGGTGAAACTGGATCAGATGTTGCTGCTAATGTAACGGGGCTCAGCAGCCTCCCAGTGAACACAACCTCAAAGACAGACGGAGGACAGGGTCGGATATATTGGTTCTCTCTTCGCTTCCCTACAGCGTCTAACAGTGAGCAACATGAGCTAACGCCACCGGCCACAACACACTGTCCACATTTTCCTCTCTAAACTTTTCCTTTGGTTTCATTTGAATCGTTTCCAGAAGCACACAGATGTAAAACTACCTTGAATCCGTACTTGAGCTCAGTAGTTGAGTAAATATTCTTCTACTTGGCCAGGAATGTGTGTGTTGGGGTGTATGTGTGTGTGTGTGTGGTGGCAGGTGGTTTGAACAGCTTCCTGGAGACAGCTGAGGAGGGAGGGATGCCATAATAATCATACCAGACCCCCTCCTCCTCCTCCTCCTCATCCCGACTCCATCCACACCTCCACCCTCGCTGCTTTACTTTTCCATTGATTCTTCCTTTTTCAGTTGCTTCCACTGGCCTGTTTTCCGTGGGTGGTCTCCTCCTCCGCCACATCAGATGATGAGTCCATGTGTGCTCCAGCGTTTCAAACGTACTACCAGGAGTTTTAAAACTGGCGAGGAAACATAATGGGCTCGAACTGGTGTGTGTGGTGTAGTGAACTCTCGCCTGTAGTCCCCAGAGGATGAACCCTACACTGTGATCCTCTGACTTTACCTCAAACATTTGGCTTTTAGTGGAATATCTCAACAATTACTGACTTTAATATCATAAAATTCAGCGCAGATATCCCCGACCCCCAGAGGATGAACCCTACCAACTGCTGACGGCCCTCTGACTTCTCCTCTAGCGCCACCATGAGGTCGACATTGTAGGTTTTTACTGAAATGACTTCTGGATGAACCCGTAACAACTTTGGTGATCCTCTGACTTAATTTCATCGTCAGGTGTAAATATTAATTTATAAACACTTTATGACCTATAAATCACACACAGACCAACATATTTAGTCGAGCTATTAGTTCATGTATTACGTTTTACTCTATTCTGTGAGATGTGTGTGTGTATTTTATCTAATGTTTGTTTGAATGACATTTTTTATTCCCTGTGTTTAAGTTTTAATGCCACACTGTAAACCAATATGGTGCAGTATAAATAAAGTTATTGTTATATTCCAAATAGTCAACATTACTAACATTAATACCTGCTTTTATTGTTTTGGATGTGATTTTGCATTTTGAGCCTCATGCATACAGTTAACTGTAGTGTTACATGGATTTGTTTGTTAATTGACAGATATCTTGTATAATTATGAAAGTTTTAACAACAACAATGTTGAATAAATGTTTTATTATCAGTCTATAAGCATTGGTAAACTGTCAAAATACTGGTTTTATCAGTGAAAACAGCTAATTTAAAAAGGTATTTTAACTGTTTTTACAGTGTAAAAAGCTTGAATTACACATAAAAAGCTACAAAATGTTATGTAAAGAATTAAAGCTTGAAAACTTTTTAAGAAGTTACTGTAATTACTGTATTATACAGTTATTTTCTGTTATTTTACTGTATTGCTTTTGGCTCTACAGCTGCTGGAACATTACTGTGCACTGTGTACACTTAAAGTGCATCTGTAATGGCTTATTTCCTAAATCCTAAAAATGTATATTGAATTACTACAAAAACTTTAGCAGGACTCAACTCCTTTAAATACACCAACGCCTCCACTGTGACGAGATAGAAGAATAAGTAGAAGGAGAAGAGGAAGAAGAGGAGGAGGAGGTTGTGGGGAACTAAGACTTGGTTACTCAGCCTTAAGTTGCTTCTCTTCCTCCTCTTTATTTTCCTCCAGTAGCACACACACACACACACACACAGTTATACGCTCACTCATCCACGGGCGAACCGCAGTCGCACACACTCACAGCGCCGTCACGGCTATTCTTAGCTGTGTACCGGCCTATTTATAGACCACTACCGGTTTCCAGCCATTTAGTTGGGAGGGATCGCAGCCAACACAAAGGAACTGGACTGAGCATATGTGAGCGTCACTGTGTGTGTGTGTGTGTGTGTGTGTGTGTGTGTGTGTGTGTGGTGTGTGTGTGTGTGTGTGTGTGCTCGACTTTATTGGAAACTTCATCTGTTTCTAATCTGAAGCAGTTAAACACACACAGAGTCGGAGAGGCTGAAGCAAAATAAGGTTAACAGAGTAAAAGTGAGGAATGCAGAACTCCTCGGGTTTATAAATAGCAGCGAGGTTCCCAGGCTAAATGAGCAACAATACAATAAGCTGATAGTTATCTAGCATGTACACACACACACACACACACACACACACACACACACACACACACACACACACACACACACACATAAAGGAAACATGCCAACCCGCCACATGAGTGGAAAAAAAAAGATGACCAAAACAAAGGAGCCTCTCTTCGACAAAAAATTCCTGTCTGGCAGATATTTCATTGGTGCAGAGACTTTTCACAGCTCACTATCACACAGCCAACACACACACACACACACACACACACACACACACACACACACACACACACACACACACACACACACACACACACACACACACACACAAGTGGATAAAAACTACTTCTAAATCTTCTTCTAAACTCGGATGTTTCTGCTGCTTTTCTTTGTCTCATGTGAGGGAAAATTCGGTTACAAAAGTCACAGAATCGGCAGATTGGTGGATAATGAAAGAAGCTACAGGATGTACGAGAGAAACTTAACATAAAAAAAACTATAAAATAGTTAAGAATCATCATAAGACCTCAGTTATAATGTTCCCCTATTAAACAATGTCCGACAAAGCCTTCACAATCATTGTGTCTTCCTGTGAAACTAAATGTGACGCGTGCTTACGTCAGCATGAACTAACTGATTTCAACCAATAACATCCTGACATTCACCCGTCAATCAATCTTCAACTTTTAGTGACGCAGAGCGAAGATTCATTAGTTAGCTAGCTTGGAGAGATTTTGCCTCTTTATTGAATGCAAAACAACAAAATGTCAAACGTTAAATACAAAGACACAAGCTACTGGGACAGACTAACGTTAAAGCGTTACTAGGCTAAAGTAGTTCCTGTAAGTACGCCACCAAGACTCAGCTAAGCGAACCGCATCCCGACTCCAGCTCTGTATTTAACTTCAGTGTTGAACGGTTCCTTGAAGCCCAGCTAATGGGAGGTCAAACACGTGGAGCTTATTGCACTGACACAGCCGCCTCAGCACCATGTCATGCCATGTGTTGTTGTTGTGGTTGTCTCTTAAAGACTTCCATCCCTCTCGTCATCCAATCAGAGATCAGAGATCAGCGAGATTAGACATTGAGTGTTGGCGATGAATCACGAGTTGTCCACAGGAACCGCAGTGCAACCGTAGCAGCCATTTTCCTTCAGGGAGTCCATTAAAAAACTAATAAAAAGCTTTTATTTAATATGGTTTGTTTTATTCTTTAATTGCCTTCAGCCAGCTCGGCTTCATCGGGGTGATTATGACGTCGTTTTGGGGTTTTACTGGATGCATCCGTCGACAAAAAGCTTAACTCAAGGTCCACTTACTGTTGTACTGGAGCTTTCAATCATTTGCTCCACTGTCATCACATAGGTAAGGTAATAATAAAAGAAAGATAATGGCAGGTGGTGATCCTAACCCTTGTCTCTGTTCAAACATGAGGAAGGCCGCAAGATGCGATTGAAAGCTCTGGAAAAAGCCAGTAAATGGACCTTGAGTTTTATATTTTTTATTATAAATCATATTTTCTATATATTATTATAAACAGGATACAATAAGTACCTGTCAATAGGTTAAAAAGACCAAATTTCACATTCTTTCAAACTCATTTTTCTGCTACTGAGGGCTGAATAACTACGGTGGCTAACGGTTTAGCTTCCAATTCAAGCTTCACATCCAGCAAATAAACAACATTTCTTACATGTATCGTGATTACAACATCAGCCAACCTCGTTGTCCTTCCAGAGGCTCTGATTAAAGACGCAGTGGCCTAACGCATCCGTCTGTACCAACCGTCTCATGCTAGCATGCTGCGAAAGGGGCTAAATAACGCTCCAAAGTTACGCTCAATGTTTGGAAAAAGACCTCAAGATATGGATATTATATAACAGGCATTTTCTGTTTTATACACAAAACAATGCATCAATTAATTGGGAAAATAACAGACACATAAATGGATACATCCATAATTTGTGTCCACAGAAACAAAGTAAGGCCGGAAGGCTGGAAGGATTTAGGTTGGGTAGTAAATGCAGGAAAATAGAGAAAGAAGGGGATTATATAAATGATATATCCTCGTTAACTAAAAGCAACACCTCACTTTCCCTCCTCAGTCTGGACTAAAGTGAACAATAATCTGAACAATAATCTGAACACACAGGAAAAGGAAGCTGGAGAGTGGCGAGAGAGGAAATGTCATACGGAGGTAAAAGTGGACGCGGCGAGTGGGCAGTAAATAACCCTGCTGGTGTTCACGCCGTGTGGATACACCGCAGAGATGAAGAGGCTGCCTGGACAGATTAGAGTAACGAGCTAAACTGGATTGTGATAGATTACAGAGGATTACAGGGCATGTAAGCCTGGTTCCAACGGGGCCGGCCAAGAGGCCATGTGGTGGGCCGCGTGGAGGAAAAAAGGCTCAGGTGCAACTGCACATACAGTACATGTGCACACAATGAGCACACTCACAGGGTCACAAGTCCACAAGTGTCACCAGCCTCAGGTTACCACCAGGCAGAGTAAAGTAAAACAGCTACCTCAACCTTTTCTTCCGTATGTTATCATGTATGAATAGTGTGAAGCCCACCTTGTCTAAAAACCTCTAAAGCCCCCCCCACAGACACACACCGGAGAGTTAGCCTCTACACACAGGTAAAACGCAGACACTTTTATAAACAGCGTGAATATGCTTCTAGTGACTGTAAAAGCTCCAGCAGCTGCTCATTAGCTCTGTTAACTCTGTTAACTCCACTACCAGCTCGCTGTTCCTGTTGTGCTGCTGTGGTCGCTGTCATCTGCAGGACTCTGATGCATTTTGTTTAATTTGCTGAGAGGGAGGGAGCTTGTATAGAAATTAAACTTTTTGTATAGTTGTATAAAATTAAACTTTTTTGATCCGCTGTGGTGAAATAACATTCATTATAATTTCTCAGTGAATCCTGGAGGAGGTGGAGGAGGTTGCTTTCCCTGCACCAAACTCCTGCTCGCTCTTTGACTTCTGACAGCTTAAGTCTGACCTTGGTGACAAGGTGTGCTTAGCAAACGTCCACAGAGTGTTTGTGTGTGTGTGTGTGTGTGTGTGTGTGTGTGTGTGTGTGTGAGTGTGTGTGAGCGTGTATGCATGTGTCCACAGAGGCATACACTTGCTATTGTGTTCTCCTAACACTGTTACATAAGTCGGGACAGAACAAGGTTCAGTCTAGTACATACTGTATTTCTCTGTGCTGTATTATACTGTCACACACACACTGTGTTGAATAACATGTCCAACAAGGAGGCGACACGCATCCAATTTCTAGCTCATTTTCAGCTAGTTCAGGCTGCAAATCACCGTTATTTTCATTACGGAGTCACTTTTTGATGAATTAATTGGTGATTCAATCTATAAAATGTCTGAAAATAGTGAAGAATGTCCATTATTATTTCCCACAATTCAAGGGAATGTCTTCAGACGTCTTGTTTTAACTCTCCAAAACCAAAAGAAACCTCATAGACGACACAGAAAACCAGTAAATATCCACATTTAAGAAGCTGGAACCAGAACATTTGCCATTTTGCTTAAAAAAAAAAGACATTTACTTTATAATCAAACTTGAATCGTGTCCATTTGCGTGTTACTTACATCCACGATGTCGGAGTTGGTCCTGCTCTCGTGGGGCTCGTTGTATTCGGTGTATTTCAGCAGAACTTTGTCCATGTCGGTGCTGGCGTACTGAAACAGCTTGTTGGTGCTGTTGAAGATGATGAGGGCGATCTCGCAGTCGCACAACACACTCAGCTCGTACGCCTTCTTCATCAGACCAAACTTGCGCTTGGTGAATGTCACCTGGAGAAAAAGGTAAAAGTTTATCTCCAACTGTGATTGGAGCACAGATCAAAAGGGGCGGGGCTTATGAAGAGTCAATTGGGATGTTAGCATTTAGTTTAAAGCAACACTGTAAGTGGAGCTGCAGACTGTGAGGGCTCTACTTTCCCTAAACTTGTGGTGTATTTTCCAGACATCCATTTGTCTCCATTCATTTCAGCACAATATGAGGGGATCAGAGTGCAGCTCGTTAAAATCAATCCGCACTTAAACGGCATTACCGCACATAAATAATGAAACTAAATGCAAGGCTTGATGGATCGCACAACTCACGCAAGAGTCTGCTCATTGATTTTAACTGAATGGAAATCAATGGCTGTCTGAAACTGGAGGAAAACCAGAAAAAGGACAGCAGCGTCAGACTGACACAGAGGGCACCTGAGATGTTCTCACTGCACGGGGAAACTGTGTAAACACAGAAGGTCAAAGTTGAAGCAGGAAGTCGGTCTGTGACGGATGTTTACAGCCGGACAGTTCGGGGAATAATTCTACTGTTCGCCTTTATTTTCTCTTCTAAATAAGTTTGATGAACCTGGACGTTTGCTGCCCGCGTCTGATCGTCTGACTGCGTCTGTTTGTTCCCCCGTTGGACCTATTTTTAACCGCCAGCCGCACATCTGAGTTATTATAACCACAGCCTTCAAAATAATAATAATAAAACTATAAAAGTTGTTCTTTAAATCACACATGATGGTAACAAAGGAGCTAAAACTCATAAACTTATCTTTAAGGATGAAACACACACTAGTATAACCTCATACGGTCCAGGGAAGGATTGTGACGAGGTCAGTCCTGCCCTGCTACGGGGGTCAGGAAGCATATGTGCCTGCATTTCCTGTCATAACAGGAAGAGAGGAACCCCCCCAAGACAAGACTTGTGTGTGTGTTCATACAATGCACACAAGCAGTTGAGCCGCATTGACAACGAGCTCTCATTTCTCAGTTGTCATATCTGTTGCATGGAGCTGGTTGACTCACGTGAACTCACACAGTCGCAGTGCGAGAGGATCATGTGACCCGATATCGCCGGCGTGTGTGTGTGTGTGTGTGTGTGTGTGTGTGTGTTGTGTGTGTGTGTTTCAGACTAAGAATCTGTGTCGTTTTGTCTTTCGGACGTGTGACTTTTACGTTGTTTCTATCTGCGGCGTTACATTTGTGCCTCATTTCTAAAAGTAAGAAAACTGAAAATAGTCAAACTTGAGCACAATTAAGGTTAAACACTGAAAACACTTTGCCTCCGTTTAAAAGGTCCCACTTTCAGGAGGATCTGTTGTATGTTTTCATCATCACCGTTGTGTTTTTGTTACCTTAGAATTAGACGTTTTTATCTACAGAGGCAGCGGGTCCTTCTCTGGTGGCGGAGTCCGCCATGTTTCTACAGTAGCCCAGAACGGACAAACCAAACACATTTTCTCATCTAACTTGGTGAATTAAGGTTTTATTTCCACCAAACCAGAGTTGGTGATTGTTGGAAACACTAACAGAGACGCTTTTAATGAGTTTTATTCTGTTTCTGTCCACTTTGAATGAAGTTACGATGGTCTGGAGGTAAAATTAGTGTTTTTGTCTCTGGAGTCTGGTGGAGAGTGATAGTGATATTATGGCTGTTTGTGGTTAAACTAAAGGTCTATCTCTGTAGGGATCCTTTCCATAATGCTGTCAGACACTGACAATAACAACCTGAGTCTGTCAGTGGCAGAAACTACTACTGTTAGTGGAACAAACAACAACTACTGTTAGTGGACGCACTTTGATGGCAAATTTGTCGTTAATGATTAACGTTTGCGTTACATTTCACAAACTCTGTGAATTAAGGATTTATTTCGACCAAACCAGATTCGGTGAGTTTTATTTTGTTTCTGTTTTGGGCCGAGATGCTGGTGCTTTAGTGGGAAAGTAAATTTCATTCCAGTTTTAAAAAAGGTGCACGTCTGAAAGTCTCCTGCGTACTCACGTGTCTGTTCCGTTCATCCATAATCCGCGCTATCTGAATCTTTTTTCTCCCCATCTTGGCTGTTTTGTTTTGTCTTGCTAGTTCTTCCTCTTTGTCACAAACTTCTTCTGGCTCCTTTGACTGACTTTCAGGTCCTCACAGTTTTTCACTTTTCAATCCCAAACTGCTGGCTTCTGCAAGAGACAGGAACAAAAACATGATCATTGGGGTTAATAAAAAAAACAACAAACCTCAATCACACACATGCCCGCACACGGATGAGAGGAAGAGGACGAACTGGTTTTTGGATTCTGTGTCACACTTTAAGAGGTGGCAATGAAAAGGACAAAAGATCAAAACTCAAACAGAAACATGTATGAACACCACTTTTAATTTCCAAAACCGGGATTGCGTGTGGGTATCATGTCATGCTATAATGCCGAGTGTAAACCGCCATGCACGCACAGACAGGCCACATATTGTCTGTCTGCATGCCCGTCCATTCACTGCTGCCGTATCCCCCTGACACACCCAAAAACCCAGCTTCCTCAGGGGGTTACTGTACCCTCAGGAGGAAGTGAAACAACTGGGCATGTCAGAATGCAAATAATAAAGAGTTTGGCTCTGTCATATGCTGTATGAAAAAAACATCTGGAGGCTTTCAGAAACCACATTTGAAGACAGGATTTTCTTTACTGCTCGCCAGAAAACTTCCTCTCTGGGTGGAGCTCAGATGGGACCAGCAACTCAGTTTAAAGCTCTAATCTGTAACATTTCCTCATTAAACAGTGTATAAACTCTATGTTCTATATGTAGTTGTTTTCTTACATTATCCCAAATGTTTCCAACAATGTTCAACCTCAGAGAAATCTGTCATTTTATTTTGTTTACCGGTCGCCTGTCAATGACGCCATATCCCCTTTGTGCCTGCGTCAGCGTTGTGGTTGTCTGCCAGAAGCTGTCATACATTGACTGTTGATCCAGTCTGAAGCCACATTGTTACCATCCACTGTTTAGATCTTGGTGCTTTTTAACTCTAGATTTGAACCGGATGAAGGATTTTAGTCATCGGACGTCTGGATCTTAAGTTATCAGAGAAACAAGCTGAGCTAACGTTAGCAGCAGCTCGGCTCGCAGCCCCTCCGCGACGTCCTTTGTCTGTCCAACAGCGTGGGAGAAGCAGTGATTGTTAAGGTGGAACTGCTTTATTCAGTGTGTTTAGTGGTTTTAATCAGCGGGTCTGTTTGTGTTGGAGAGGAGGAGACCTCTGTGGATCATTGGGCTCCCGGTAGAAACCTCCTGAACCATGAACACTGAAGGAATCCTAACCGGGAGAAGCTGACTGCAATGACGCCAATGGTGGTGAAGACAACAACTCACATGATCCCACGCTGCTTCACCTCATCATCACACTTTATCATTGTTAATTTTTTTTATGTGTCTCTCACAACAGAATAATAACATAAAGACGAAGCTTGTTTTCTGCTCTACGTATTACAGCTCCAGTGTTTATCGGTATTTTGATGTTAACGGGGAGAAGAAGGAGACATCTTGTGTACGGCAGGAAAACTTTAGAAATGAAACAAAATTTGCACATTCATAGATTTTAAGCTTACACTGCAGTGACAGAACATACCAAAATAACCAGAATTTCCCTTTAAGACACTTCCACATTGGCTCCAGGTAACACTCAGTGTGCCGGCTGCTCATAAACCATGTGTGTATGACTAAAGTGCGTGATGAAGTCTTGACCATGTGGAAAACACCAGCACACACACACAAACACACTTTCTAGTTCAACTAAACGCTCCCGCCTCCTCTAACCTCTCCCTCAGACCCTCGCATTAAAGCCCCTTCGCCCCTTCATTAGCGTGAGGAGGAGAAGAAAAGAGGGAGGAAGGTGATATTAAGCAGTCAACGAACCTTTTGTTAATCTGTCGTGTGCCGCGGGGCGTGAAAGCACAAGCATAAAGGAGCACACAGGAATATGTGTCATACAGATTAAAGATGGACCTGTGCGCCTACCGGTGCATGTGTGTGCGCGCCATGTGACCCGTGTCTCGCTCCTGAAGTGGAGCTTAAGAGCTCGGGTCGCCGAGTTAACTGGATGTTCACACACGCTGAGACAGACGCACACAAACAAACACACACGGCAGGTTTTCTTGGCAGCTTTTCCGGCGTCATCGCAGCAGCAGGCGAGGAAAAGGCGCTGCCTGCTTGCAGGAGGCGGCGGCCCTCAGGCGCACGGGGAGAAATGGAGAATGAAATTGGGATTTGCGGAGATGTAAGACGATGACGCAGGTGTGCTCTCGGAAAACAAAAAGGGAGAGAATGACTGCGGTGTTACAGTTTCTTTATCTCCCTCATTCATCATTAAAGATGTTCGTTATATGAGAGGAAGGAGGCAAGAAATGATTGTTTTTATTATTATTTGGTTGATAAAATGTCTAAAGGTTGTGAAACGTGTCCATGGTTGACGTTTATAAATGTCCAAAAGCCAAAAATATTATATTTACAATGTAAAAGCAACCATCAAACCAACAGGAGGAACTGAATATTTTAACTTTTATCACATTTTTTGGAAGTTGGAAGCACAAGGGACGATTGATTGATTTATAGTGATCCTAGTTCAATCATTCAGGACATTAACGCCATGCATAACTAAACTTTAATTAGTATCATTGGTAACGCCTGTGTTTACCCTACTAGTTCTTGTCAAAATGGCTGCTGTGGAAAAGGTCTTTTGAATAATGTTTATAAACTTTATAAACTAAAGAACTAGCCTCAGACTGTTGGCATCAAATCATAAAGACTGGAAACAGCTAACCTAAAAGCCCTCTTGTCTTATAAATACTGACGTGTCTTAAAGTAAGCATCCATAAATAATTAGTTTTTCTTATCATAGTTGACTTTTACTGGAGGCCCATTAGCTTGTTAGCTTATTGTTAGCCTCAGTTTATCCTATGAATTCATATTTTAAAAAAGGTGGAAAAAGGTCTTTAAAATAATGTTTGTTTCTGTTGTTCGGCTCCAGAAACTTGTCACGCTCCGACGTTTTATAAACTAAAAGAACTGATTGATTAATAAAGAAAACAGCAGCTGAATATTGAGGATAATGATTGATCGCAGCTGTAATAACCTGTAATTTCCACCTCTTCTCTCGTTTCCTGCGGTTGGAATAAACAAATACAAACTGACAGCTCCTGTCACGAAGTCATAATGGACGTGTTTGTTGCCACCAGGAAGAAAACAAAACAAAAACACTGATAATAAAAACGCTATCAGGATCATCATCAGCAGCAGCGAGCAGCGACACGCCGGCCGGAGAGCATTACAGGAATATCTGGAGTCTGAGTCACGCTGCCTGTGAGCCTACCTCGCTTCAGGAACACAGCACAAGGATCAACAACATCGGTTTAAATTTAGAGCCCTCGCAGACGAGCACACTCAGCATGTTGGCGTAAAACAAAAGAAAAGGGAATTTTAGGCCAAACTGAGACTGTGAGATTGCATGAAACAATGTGTGTGTGTGTGTGTGTGTGTGTGTGCTGTTATCTGTAGGTTTGATTTAACGCCGCAGTTTGATCTTTTTCCAGGATGACAGCAAATCTCCACCCCGACTTCACCCACGCGCACACAAACCTCCCCGCTATTTATAGACCCCCGGCGTAAAAAAGCAGAAGGACTCCAAAAATAAAGAAGGATGAACTTTTTACCCCAAACAACAATACGAGCAGTTTTCTGGTTCACAGACAGAGAGAGAGAGAGAGAGAGAGAGAGAGAGAGAGAGAGAGAGAAAAAAAAAGAGAGACTGTTGAACAGAGGAAGAGATGGAAATCAGCCATCTCACGCAGGCCTCAGCTGCTCCCTCGCCAATTATTTTCCAACACGCTGAAAAAAGAGGCGGGAGAGTGTGACTGTGTGAATGCCTGTTTGCATATGTGCTGTACGGTTTACACGCAGCGCCGGCAGAGCGGCGGCTAATGGCCGACATGTGGCGGTGCCCTTGTGTTCTTTGGCAGGACACTCTGAGCGTCTCGGTGTCGCAGGGCGGCGAGGGGAGGGCGGGTGGTCGGCGGAGGGGCGAGGGGTGACGGACAGACCCTGCTGGACCTGGAACCGAACTCTGAATCCATTAAAGAAAAGCAGTTGTAGCCGGCGAACGTTATTAAGCTATAAAAGAGAATAATTAGAAGGAAAAGTTCGACATTTTAGGAAATATGATAATTTTTAGATGAGAAGATTTAAACCACTGCTCAGTTTCAGGTTATTGTTATTAAAAATATATATGACATAGTATTTTGTGACATAATAAAGCATTTCAACCCCAAAAACATAATAATAATAATAATATAATATCTGGCTAACTTAGCTTAGCACAAAGACCAAAAAAACCACTAGCCTTAAATCCCTTTTCTCTTTTAAATGCTAACAAGTATGAAAGCGTCCAAAAATAAAAACGCGACAGTTTCTGCTTTTATCAGAGGCCCATTAGCTTGTTAGCTTCCTGTTAGCCTCAGTCTGTTGGTATGAGATTGTGTACGGAGGTTATTTCTGAGATGGTTTTACATTAATATTAATATCTGTATGCTAATTATAAAGACTGGAAATGAAAGGAAAACATTTTGTTTTATAAATAACAGAACAATGAACTCTGTGGCAAATAGATTGATTATTTACTCCCCGTATCAATACCGATCAGCTCTTTATGGCGCGCTCCAGGCTAACACAAACACCTGTGTGCGGGTAACTAAGGTGTAAACGTGTATTTGGTCGTGTTCGGATGTAGAAATATGAGACGGCGCAACACGTCGACTGTGTTCAAAGTGTCTCTTTGAGTTTAAAAAACAAATACAGGCTAAATTACTGGTGGAAGTTGCCTCTCAGGGCTCAGATGTGGATGCAGGTAACCTGATCTAATACATGTGGTTCGGTGGGGGAGACCCCTCTATAAGCAGCGGGTGAGTCACGCCCCGTGGCACAGACAGCTCGCCACATGCTCGGCATACGGGAGTGATATCACACCGACATCTGCGGCGTCTTTGCGGGACCGCAGCATTTCTGAAACGCTGCCATGAGTCCGATTAGAGCAGCTTCAGAACTTGCTTGAGATTTATCGTGTTTTTAAGTTTCCTTCAGTATCAAAGTAATCCGGTGACAGTTGTCTGTACATCCGCTGGTACATCGCCAACGGGAGCTGCCGATGGCTGATTCGGCTCACTTTTAATTCCACTTTGCCAAAATATAACCAAATATAGGCAAAAAAAAAAAAAAAAAGGAGAGATCAATGACATCTTTGATGAGCTTTTAAGGGACTGTTAGGTTGATAGGTGTAGGTGTAGCTAGCTCACAATTAATGTAGATTAGCTATATCTATATCTTACTTTATATATATATTTATATTTTATCTTTTAACCACCTTAAAAATGGTTTTCAACATAGATTAGCTTAGCACGTAGCATATTTAAGTAAAAGAAAGGAGGAAATTGACTGAGGCTTGCTGAACTGTGGTTGGAGCACAGAGCACACATTTATTTTTTTTTAGATAAAATGTATTTTAATTCATACTTAATAATGCATGATGCAGTTTTATGGCTGGTAAAAAAAATAATATTTTTGGTTGGTAAATAAAACAGACGAGCCAAAAAATTCACTTTAAACACTAAAATCCAAAATATAAAAATACTTTGCCACAGTTTGGTCCAAAATTCTGTCAAATTTAACCACATTAATTAAGATTAAACTTAAAATAACGTAAAAAAAAAAAAATAAAAAAAAAAGTAAATTAATTAATGATCTGTTATGGACACATTTTAGACTCAATTTAATAAAACAATATCTCATATTAGTAAATAAATGTCTAACGCCACCGTAAATCTATATAAAATACTTTACTAAGATGCTACAATTATGTGATTTTTAGCTCAATTATTCATTTTAAGGCTTTTCCAAGCAAGTATTGATATATAATTGTTTTTAAATCCCCATATATTTCTGCCACCCTTTGGCCACCCCATGTATCGATCCGCCCCTGCATCAATCACAAACTTTCTCCAACTACAAACATCAGTTCAGACTCTCTCTTACCAAAAACAAAAACGTTGCTGAAGAAAAGTTAAAACCACACAGTTACTTCCTCACATGTCCCGACAGAAAAACTTCCCCGAGTGTTTCCAACCGCGCTCCGCCGCCGGGGAGAAGTCGACACAAAGCCCCGCAAACCGAGCTCCAGCTCCGGGCACTCACACTACAACCTGACCGCCGAACAGACGCGAGCTCCGGAGACACAAACCCGAAGGTGTTTCCTCTGAAGTGAGGAGAGCAGGAGGAGGAGGAGGAGGAGGAGGAGGATTATCCCGCTTGTGTTTATTTCCTGTTGTTTATGGCGTGTCAAACCCGCACGCCCCGCATCACACTCCACACACGCACACGCACACGCACACAGAGCTTTACCTCACACTGCTCCGCTCCGCAGGTCTTTCTCCTGCGTGTGTCCGTCCAGCGGCTCAGTCCATCGGTGAGTCTTCCTGCGCTTCCTCGGGCTCAAAGCACCTGGACGTCAGGAGGAGGCATCATCACACCGCACGTGCACGCACACAGCACGCACGCACGCGCACAGAGGAAATAAAATAGAGAGGAGGAGAAAATGTTTTAAATAGAGCTCCAATAAGACATTTCTCTCTGTCTTTTATGTGTCTTTGTTTTTATTTTAATCAGTGTTTTCAACAGGTTTCTGTGAGAATACACTTTAATATAAGTTAATATAATATAATATAATATAATATAATATAATATAATATAATAGGCTATATAACTACTGCCTCCCAGTGGAGACTCCAGGAACTGCTCCACTGCTCATCCATTAACTCCCAAACCAATAAAACTGTTATAATAAACAGTTTAAAGCTGCAGCAGGTAACTTTTATAGACTGAATCTTTCATTATATACTGACAGGAGAACATGAGACAGATATTCTGTGAAACAATCAGGTTCCTCTGGTTCCTCCTGGTGCTCCTGATGGCGTTTGTGAGAATCCACCAGGGCCCGAATTAAAGCAGCCGATCAGAGCGACGGACGCTTCGGGACTCAACAATCAAAGATCTTATATATCGTTTCAAAAAGCAGAAACAATACTGACGATACTGGAAAAGACTTCAGGTGATTAATCCACCAGTAAGGATTATAATCCATTTGTCTGTCAGCACAATCTTCTATTCAGGGTGAAGTGATCATCTCCTAAATTATTAGCCAAATATATCGTCTTGAAATTTAAATATTTTAATTTAATGTGATGAAATGTGATTGTTAAGCCCGGAAAAAAGCTGAAAACTTCAGAAAAAGGCTGAAAACTTTAGGAAAAAAATGAAAAACTTGAATAAAAAAAGTGAATAAATAATAAATAATTGGTGAAATATAACTCACTACGTACAAATCTGAGGTAAATGTACTTGACTTGATTCTCCAAAACATCTCAGAGGGAACGATTGTACGATTCTACATTTACAGCTTTCAGGAGAGTTTTATTAAATTAAAGTCAATTAATCAATTAGCTGAAGTCATTTTTCATGTAAAAACATTTCCTGTTTCCTGTGACTGATTTTAATCATTTGAATGTGTTTGTAATATTTGGACTAAATAAGCATTGTGAAGGATTTATTGACAGATTAATGGAGAAAATAATCATTAATAAATTATTATCAATCAGCTCCAACAGTGAAATTCTGCTTTTACATTAATGAATGAATCAGAATAATCTAATTTTATCAGATATAACTGAACAACAATCACAGTTTAATACTGTAAATTCATTTTACTGATTATATGCACATATATTCAATGCAGGACTTTAACTTATAGTGGAGTATTTGTACTTTTACTAATAAAATAAAGGATCTGAATACTGATGATTTCTGATTAATCTGCAGATTATTATCTCAGTTAAAAGTTAATTTAATCCAAAAAATGTCAGAAAATAGAGTTTCAAGGGACGTCTGCAAATGTCTGTTCACAGGTTTTTTTATATTCATATCTTCAGAAAAAGCAAAAAAAAAACTTAAGAAAAAACTTCAGATAAAAGCTGAAAAGCAGAAAATCAGATTCAGTTTATAGTTACAGAAGACAAAAAAAACATTCACATTTGGAACCAAAACCGAAGCTGTAGATTAATTGATTAAAACAAGTGCATGTTGTGCCCGACTAATCGATTAATCGCCCGCTCTAATAGTCAGCTCTACTTTACTTTCGAAGCCAGTGGCGTAACACAACAACCTGCAGCCTCACTGTGACGAAGCATTTTCCAGCTCATCCAAAAACGGTTTAATGATCCCACAGAACTGCATCCTATGTATTATATTATTATACTGTGTGTTTAAAGAGCTTAACATTATAACAAATAATAAATAAATAATGATTATTATCCATTCGTCTTCTCTGCTATTCATGGTCAACTGATCATATCCTGAATTATGGGCTGAATATACATATTGAAATGTATCAGTTTGAATTTAATGTGGGAAATAGAAACTTTAACGTTGAGCACAAAACTTCATTCTTGGACTTGGAAATACGGAAAAAAACGTAAGAAAAAAGTTGCAGTCAGCTTCTCCCGGTTAGGATTCCTTCAGTGTTCATGGTTCAGGAGGTTTCTACCGGGAGCCCAATGATCCACAGAGGTCTCCTCCTCTCCAACACAAACAGACCCGCTGATTAAAACCACTAAACACACTGAATAAAGCAGTTCCACCTTAACAATCACTGCTTCTCCCACGCTGTTGGACAGACAAAGGACGTCCCGGAGGAGCTGCAAGCCGAGCTGTTTCTCTGATAACTTAAGATCCAGACGTCCGATGACTAAAATCCTTCATCCGGTTCAAATCTAGAGTTAAAAAGCACCAAGATCTAAACAGTGGATGGTAACAATGTGGCTTCAGACTGGATCAACAGTCAATGTATGACAGCTTCTGACAGACAACCACAACGCTGACGCAGGCACAAAGGGGATATGACGCCATCGACAGGCGACCGGTGAAACGCAGTGTTACCTGAATAAAATGACAGATTTCTCTGAGTTTGAACATTGTTGGAAACATTTGGGATAATGGAAGAACTCAACTACATGTAGAACGCAGAGCCAGAGTTTATAGGTATTGTAACGCGGTTATGCAATGTCACACATTATAGCTTTAACTTGAGCTCTAGTTTCCTGCCTGTGCTGTTGTTTTGCTGGGGCAGCTCTCACTCGCTGATTCCCTGGGCTTCATCTTCTACACAACTCAACAGCATATAGAACACAAACCTCGAGTTTACACACATTTTAAAGCAGGAACGTCACAGATTATAACTTTAACGTCCGTCCCTGTTTTAGTTCACTCACCGGTGCTTTTTGTTCTGTCTTCACCTGGAAGGTTTCCCCAGCAGCTCCAGCTGTGGGTTCACTCAGTCGATCCCTTGTATCAAACAAGAAAGGATTCTTAAAGAAAAAGAAAGCGAAAGAAGGAATATTAAGCCAGACCAGCTGGCTTAGAGAAGAGGGGGGGACCCAGAACTGGGCTGCGTTTGGATCTGAGATCAGTCCAGACTGAGGCGAGGTAGTCTACACTCATCAGACCCTGACGCTCAAACACCACCCCCTCCGTCCCATCAACACACACACACACACACACACACACACACACACACCTCTTGTACACACTCATACCCTGTGACCTCCTGCGTCCGAGCTGGCCGGTCTGTGGAGGAGCCCGGTCACCTGTCGTTGTCACTCGCGGTATATTTAGCTCTGAGGTGTCAGTGATGCTGCCTGTGTGTGTGTGTGTGTGTGTGTGTGTGTGTGTGTGTGTCTTTCAGTTTGTGTGCGCGTGTGTTGGGGGGGGAAAAATGTGTTGCTGACACTCAGGGCCTCCATGGGCCTCGGTGTAAGAGCCCAGGATTACTGGTCCAAAGACCGGCGGCTCTACACATTACATACAGAGAGAGAGAGAGAGATCAAACCTGCGAGCGTGTCCTAGATATCAGCGCACTGAGCATCTGCTTGGCGGAGGATTACCTCAGCTGTCTGCTCCTGTCAGAGGCAGGAAAGGAGACCAGCAGACTCCTTTGACTTCGATGATCTATGAATCCATCGAATAACGCAGCAGGAACATGGCTGACTCACCGAAAAGCCCCGAAACAACAACCCCCCCGCTGGTTTCTAGAGTAAAATCCTTCTGGTTCTCATTGTTACACAAAATGTGTGGTTCTAAAAACTGGGAGGGCTGGTTGATGAACTTCGGACCGTATTATTTCCCTTGATGATAACCAACACGCACATACTGGAGAGTTAGCTTAGCTACAACACCATGCAGAAACTTTTACAAAGTGCTGTGAATGTGCTTCTAGTGCCTGAATTGGACCAAAAAACAGTTTCAGTACCCAAATTCAGCAATCTCCGGTACCAGGGGTGTGTCCAGATGGGGGGGTCTTTCAGAGGTTGTAGCGGGCTCCAGCTAAAGATACTGGTATCATGTGAAACTAGGTGGTCTAACGCGTCCATTGCTAAGAAATAATGTTGGAAAGGAGACAAAATAACGCTCCAAATTTTGGTGAAGGCCATTTTTAATGGGATATCAGGACGTTTGACCTCGGGTTGTCTCAATGAAAACGGGTTCGATGCCACTATTCAAAGGCTAACTGAGGTGAACTACGCTAACTAACTGAGGAATCTGGCTTTTTGACTGTCCAGATAAGTTTGTTTTAAAACTATTATTAAATATGTATTCTCATTGTATTGCCATTTTTCATGGCATAAAAATCCAAGAATGACCCTAAAAACGGAGAGACTGCACTCTGTCTTTGTATTAGCATAAACAGATATATACGTAGTGCAAAGAGTAGTGTCTAGCACAGTAATATCTAAACTACTATTACTATCTGCTCCAATGTGCTCAGGTAATAAACCACAGTAAGAGTTCCCAGTGGAGAACATGAAGATTCCCTTTGTTTTAATTCCCGACATTGTCCAGAAATTGTCCTGAATTCAGGATTTACAGACACTGAAGCCGCAGTAACTGTCGTAAATGTAATCAACAAAAAGTTTCTCAGTTACTCGTGACGTTAAAAGCTCCAGCTGTTCATTATATAGTATAGTAGTAAACATAGTATTATATTCAGACGTCCTTGAACTCATCGTGTCCAAATCAAAGATAAAATCATGTGCGGTTGATTTCAGTCTGCCACTAACAGCAGCTAGAAACTGCAGGTCAGTGAGTTTCAGCCAGCGAGGACCCGCTGATGGAAAGGAAACAGTCGAAGCGTAAACGATAATTCCACCTGAAAATAAATTCTGTGCACGATTTCCCTCGTACAACACACACAGACGGAGACGAGGGCAGATTGTTTGGCGTTCGGGCTCGAAAGGAATGTGTGAAACGTTCTGGTGCGTTAAATTTACGTGCTTTAATTTCCCCACCGTTGGTTTGCATCCATCCTTCCCTTCCTCCTGAAGAAGAAATATGCTGTTCATTTTACCCACCCCCCCCCCCAACCAACGGGTTGTTTAGACTCCTGTCTGCACCATTTACACTTGAGGAAGGGAGGAAAAGGGGGGAGGAAATGAAAGGAGGTGGGAAGGAAGGGAAAAGGCTAACAGTGATTGTTTGTGTGCAGAACACGGGGCTGAAATTGAATTATGGCAGATTTAAGCTGTCAGGGAAATCACTCGCTCTGGTCGGTTTAGAGGTTGAAACAAACCTTCGGCTGTATCCGACGTACGCGATGTGTGGTACACGCTGGTTTTAACAGCAGTAGTAAACGACAGCACGGCTAGTGGCAAACTACTTTTATATCCGGTCCTAAAGAAAAAGGTTATAAATGTTGGTTTTCAGGATCGTCCCAATAATGAACATATATTATGAACCATTATCCTTCCCTCTTCCAGTCCACTTTAAGAGGCTGTAACAGGCTCCAGTTTAAAGCTAGAGTAAAGATACTGGTATCATATGAAACTAGATGACCTACTGCATCCATCCGTACCAACAATGTCATGCTTGCACGTTGGGAAGGAGACTAAATGATGCTACAACATTAGGACGGATTTTGGAAATGGAAAAACTAGCAACCTCTGAGTCCAGGATATCTGAATGAAAATGGGTTTTATGGGAAGAAGTCGCTGCATCTTTAGCGCCAACTCGTTTCCGCGTGATGGACAGTTGTCACAGGTCTGCACGTTGTGTGTCTTCTTGTCTCAGCTCAGTAAAATGACGTTTGCATGTACAGTGTGTGTTTGTGTGTCCGTGTGTAACCGTGCTCGCTGTCTGTGTAGGCGGGAGTCCGATGAAGGTGTTGGAGGAACATAAACAAGCAGTGACAGAAGCAATAAGCTCCGGCTGAAAAGAACCAGATGTGTGCAGAGAGACATCCTCAAAATATTATTACTGGAAGTCTTCTAACGTTTCTCCTCTGTCCACCTTAAAACTCTCTTTGTGACGTCAGAACAGAGTGATTCATTGTGCCGCGGCTCTGGTGGACCTAAAAGACTGGTGTGTAGGATTTAGTGGCATCTAGTGGTTGCAGATTGCAACGCACTCGCTTCACGCTGCTCTTCTAAACGCAAAGGAGAAACTACGGTGGCCATGAAATATGCAATAAACGCCCTTATCTAGAGCCAGTGTTGGGTTTGTTCTATCCTAACAGCACATCTTAATAAAGTCAGTTAACATAACTTAAAACTACATTAATTAAAACTTAAAAATAAAGTAAAAACTGAGTGAATTTAAATGTGTGCTGTATTTTAATTATTGGTGATATAATTCCAGTTTGTTCCATTGACTCATAACTTTATAACATTATAAAATAAACTGAAGTCGGTAAAAAAAAAAAGATGCATTTAAGTGACTTTATTCAGATAAATTCTGTTCACACATTTTATATAAAGTTTGGAGAAATGCTGCATATGAGTTTAATAGACTTACTAGTTTTAAGTATTAACTTAATCTATGTTTCCTTAACAATATTTTAAGTTATTTGTACTAAAATTAAATATTTTTTCACGTTTTAATTGTTCGTTTAAGTCGATGGGTTTCCTCAGTTTGAGTCACTTATTCTCTGGGTTAGAGTAGACCCTGTTGGTTATTAATGTTCCTCTGATATTGACATTTTCATTTAAGCTGCCAAAACTCTGCAAAAAACATCCTTTTTTTGTTACTTTCTTTTTATCCTTTTGAGACTTTCTGTCTCTCTCATTTGGACTTTGGCGGCTAATTTCTTTCTGTCGATTAAACAGAAATTTAACTTCAGACTAAGAAGAAAACAATAAGTAAGAAAACAATCGGAAAACCGTCGAAATTTAGCACAAAGTTTAAACATTATCTAAACAAATATTACCTGTATTTCAACAGCATTTGAAAACAATAATAATAAGGTAATGGTAGCTCGAGCGAGGTCCCAGCGTCTGTGGAAATCTTCCATAATGAAAACCACAAGTTCATATAGATTTTTAAACCTACTGGGATTTGTACACTGGTAGTTCATTTTTGAACCAGTTTTATCCATTAAAAAGCTATAAAATGTTGTTAATAACTATTAAATAGGCAATAAAGGATCCTGGTCGCTCACATTAATGTAATGAATGTCTGATGTTTGGTGACGTGTTGTTTCATACAACTCAGTTTAGCGTGGACTACCTCTTTAAAGAAACAATCTAATAGTATTTCCCATCTTTGCTCAGCCAGGAATTAAAGGCCTGTCCCAAATAAAAGCCCATCGGTCCGTAAACTGTTCACACTGACAGAAACTCTTCCCTTCACGGAGGAGGTTTTTACAGGGGGGGTGGGGAGCGGACTCAGACATGAGGAGGGAATGCCTCGAGACATGCTGTGGATCGTGGACTATGCCGGGCAGTTGGGTGAGGATGGATTAGTTTACACACGCTCATGGCTTTCACGGTAACTTTATCCCCCTCTCCGACGGGCCACGCCACACTGCGGCGGACACTCGGTAAACGGGAAGAACGCCACGGTCTCTGAAGGAGGAGCAGCAAATATCACAAACACACACACAAAAAAATCTGGAAAATAGTCGACAACAATTACCCAAAGTGACACTTGACACTGAAACCATGAAATGTTTTTACATAGAAAGATAATTTAAAGGTCCAGTGTGTCACACTGAGGAGGATCTATTGTCAGAAATATAATATTTATATGTTTTCATTGGTGTTTAATCGGCTGAATATAAGAATGTTTCTGTTAATGTTTCTATCTACGGAGGGAGCGGGTCCTCTTCCAACCAAACACTGGCTTACACAGCGAGTGGTATTCAGTTGGTTGTAACCATCGACTTATATAAAGATGGACGACGTGAAGGCGAACCCTCTCTATCGCCCCCTGGTGGCTGACTGCATGTTAGCAGAGGCTTTTTACATTGGGAGGAAGTGGAAATGCGACCTCCATCTTTTATATGTCGCTAAATCCGACAAACTCTTAGTATACTTTAAGTACCTTCACCTTATACTTCTACTCTATTACACTGGACAGCTCTAGTTACTTTACAGATTACAGCTTTACATCCTCTTCCTGTCCAGTGAAAACCACGTATCTCCAGATGTGTTGAT